AGTTAACACAAAAATCTTGGTTAGTATTTGAACCAACCCATATATATATATATATATATATATATATATATATATATATATATACACTGTAGTCTTAACTTTTAAGCTTTTTATTTACTTTTTGTGGATCTGATTGATGAATCTTTGTGTCATCAATCTCACTGGTTGTGTTGGCTCTTTTGTTTGATGATTTTATCCAATTAGTTTCAGGGCGACCACTTATTTTATGGATAGTCTGGAGTTACTGCATTTGAACCTTAATGGTTACAAGGAGATTCTTATTTCTTCTTGGATTCGAACTTGAGACCTCTAGATATTTTTGACCTTCGAACAACACCCTTGAATACTTTCTGTATCGAACGTGTTTTAGAATGGTGAGTCTATGTATATACAAAACTAGAATACATTATCGTAATTTATCATTTTAGTTTATCTCAAATTGAAAAAAAATATATATAATGTATCTTGGTTTGATTCTTATTTTATGTGATGTATCTGGTAACTTTTGTTTCAGTACCTTATATGAGATATCTGAAACATTTAAACAGAAGGGTGTTACATAGAATGTGAATTATACTAAAGTAAGTTGCAATTTTATGCATTCTCGTATATGTCTATCAGGTATTTTTATTCATAGGTGTCCAAATTAATGAGCTTACGTGCACTTTGGCTTATTAATTCCAGATGCTTTAGAGAACAGTCAGAAAAATCCTCAATGACCTGACAAGACTCAAAATAGTGATCTCTGGAAAAGATTCCCTAATATTAGAGTCAATGTATGGAAGAATGGTAGTAAATGTATAAGATTTCAAGGGTATCATTTTTAAAATCTTTACAACGTTTTTAACTGGTTAATAAGAACTGGTAGTCATGGTATCTGAATTCTCTGATTCTATTTTTCAAATGAAAGCATACAGAACGAGTCTTCACATGACGACATATATAAACAACAACAATGATTTTATATATAAATATCAAATAATTAATAAGATTCATAAATGAGACGTGATATTTAATGAACTGTTTCTAAAACGCGTTAATATACAGGCTTTGTAGATTTCCTTTTACAGATAAGATATATTATATTCATTTAATTTGGGTAGCTTCATTAAAAGTTTTAGTAAATGAAAAAGGGTATATGGTGATAGTTTTTTTTTTTTTAAGTATATAATATTTATATAATTAAATACAATAAATAAATCCACACATTTTTCTTATTTTTGGTGAAATTTAAACCCTTGATTTTTTAGGAGGCCAAAAACTATGATACTGTTAAATAAATGCTATATGAAAATATAAAGTGAGAGTTGTAGAAGAAAAGGGACAATGGGGTGACATGTATATATATAATTGAGGTAAAAGAGGACAAATTAACCCTAGATGGAAGGCTACTGCTTTGAACCTTGGTTTCTTAGGTTACTGTTTTTTTCTAACCAATAATTTAATGTTTATTTTTTCTCTTTGTCTGAATTAATAAAATGATGACAAAATAGCAGTTCTTTAAAAATTAAAAATAAAATTTTTAATAGAAATTCTATATTTATTTTAACAACCTATTTTTCAAATATTATTGTATTAATTATAAGATAAATTACATGAAAAAATAACGTACATTAAGTATCTGGATAACCTGTTGAAGCATTAACGGGTTACCATGCTGATGTGGCAAAGAATGCGATATCAACTCAGTATTATTTGGTAAAGCATTAACTATTACTATTAAAATATTTAACATAATTCATATAATATTATTTATTGGTTGCAAGGATAAAAAATCACCGCTCCCTCTTAAGCAATCATTTCTTGAGGGTTATTAAAATTTGGAGAATTAACCACAAGGGTGGTGTCTGATTGGGTTGAGCTTGGCCACAAAGGTCAAAAGTGTCAGAAGGTATCAAGTTCAAATCCAAGAAGAAACAAAAATCCTCTATGTGGTCATGGAGGTTCAAATGTGGTGACTCTTGGTTACCTGCAAAGCAGGTGGTTGTCCTAGGATTAGTCGGCTCATAAAGCGGGTTGAATATCCAGGTTAATAAAAAAAAAGGAGAATTTTAGACTTTTTCTTCTATTTTTTCCATTTTGGGAAGGTTTTAACGGAGGTGTCAAGTTTGTATCAATTTAACTGGTATCAATCTAATTGGTTGGTGATACCTTACCGACTATCAAAACTTGGTTGGTATGTTGTATCAGAAGTCGTGTATCACGATAGTACCGTACAAACTTATTCTTTTAATTATTTGTTTATTAAAGTTTGATCAATAATACTGAGATGTTGATTCTTAAATTTTTAATCATCTTATTTTCAATTTTCCTAATTATACGGATAAATATACAAACTTGATTGAATTCGTTCGTTTAACCGTAACAACTTTAGTAACTTGTCTAAACATCCGCGATCCATCAACGCTTCTATTAGAGTACTAATAATGCTTGTATTGTATGAATGTTATTTGAATGTTTGTTTATGTAAGAATAAGTGGTATAACACATATCAACATGTTATTTGAATGCTCGAGGGTTCTCGTGCATCTAGATTTAGTTGGTAAATGTTAATATAAATAAATTTGTAACTTCAACTTTTGTGATGCTAGTACAATGGTGTGCCAACATGTACTAACATCACAAAAGTTGAAGTCACAAGTTTATTTATATTAGCATTTACCAACTAAATCTTCCAACATGTACCAACCGAAAAAAGTTGGTACCAAGTATAGTTGGTTGGTACATGGTATAAAATTTTGTATACCAATTATAATTGGTTAATACATGGTATATGAAAATTAAAGAAAAAAAAACATGTTACCATACCATGTTCACCCCTAGGCTTTGGAGAATCGGAAATTTTCAGATTCTCCATTTTTTTTTTAAATCTGTTGGAGATGCTCTCATTTATTTGATGAAAAAAGTTCAAAAAATACAACCAACATTTTTTTTATTTTAATGGTTGAGTCCCTAAACTTGTTTTTTGAATGAAAAATCATTAAACTTTCTTATTTTAAATGATTAAGTCCTTGAACTATTTTTTGGAATGGAAAAACCATTAAATTTTATCATTTTGAATAATTAAATTCATAAACGTTTTTTTAAATAAATAAATCATCACACTTTTAAAAATTGGTTACCAACATCGTTTTTACCCAAAAAAAATTACATGTAACTGACTGATAAATGTTCAATGTTTATTTTATTAATATCTCTTAAAAGTTGATAGTATCACTGAAGACTTCTTATACTGATGCTTCTGTCATAAATAATGTTGTAATAATAATGTAATTTTGCTATGATAATGTTGTTGTAATACTTTGTTAAATTGAAGACTTCTTATGATGTGATAAATTCGAAAATGAAGTGATGATCACGTCAATGATCATCAGCTCTTTCTGTTCATTATGTGGTTTGCAGCTCTTTTTTCATTGTACCCTTGCATGCTTTTGATATTCTTAAAAAGGGTAAATATCTATTTAATATTTTTAATGATCCCTCAATCCTTTTAAAACTGTAACTTGAATGATGGACTTTCAAGTGTTCTTACATTTGAATCCCGTCGTCTGTGTGTGTATGTATATATGTGTATATCAAATTAAAAACTAACAAATAAAACATTAAAAAGATTAGAAAAATCAAATATCGTCTTATAAGAACCACACATTAAGCCATCGCATGTCACAAGCTTAATGTAGTGCGAGACACAAGCTTGAGTCACTGAGCACCGTGAATCCGTGATGGATATTGGGACGAGTCTTTTAGAACACTTATTCTAGCACAAGATATGAAGACATGTACCAATTGTTTTGTCAAATTATACATACGATTCTATAATTTTATCAATCTAACATGTTATTTTGTAACTCGTATTTTCATTAGGGTATGTCATATGCACCCTTTATTTATATCAGAATCAGGTCAAATAATGCATTAAAAATATAAAAAGTAAGTTTTGATATTGATTTGTCAGATAAGAAAATTAGTAGGTAGAAGTGAATTTAATCATATAAAGTAATGAATTTTTATTTTGAGGGAGGAAATAAACGCCAGCTGATTTGATAACATGATGTGATGATAGATAAAGATATAACTCATGAAATAACACTCGACAATTTTTATTAGACCGTGAAGAATAAACACGTTATAATATTTGAGGATACACGAGATTTAGAGGTGTTTCATTAATAGAGGTATTAAGCAGTAATCAATGAGAATAAAAATAAAAGAAATTATTTGGTAATTTATAATATAATGGGTTCATTTTTTCAGAAGCCCAAAATTTTATTCCTGGTTAAACTGGATTCTCATTTTCATTTCTTAACATTAGCCAAACAGACCTATTTGATTGTGTTACTGATACTTACACCAAAATAGAGTATTGGTGTTGTCATCCATTTGGAGATGGTCTTAACACCCTAAAACAAGGACCTAGGTTACATATTTAGTTATCTATACGGTATTATAAAGCATTTGATGTAATATCTTAAAAACTAAACTATTTTTCATATATCAAGTACTGTTATCGATACATATTACTTAAAATTCAGGGTTACAAATAAATGATGCATAAATACAACTTTTTAAATTTGCATGTTTGAATTCATTTAAATAACTAACTGATAAACATAATCAAACATACAGGATAAACATCTTCATTTAAATATTAAAGATCTAAAATATAATTAGGATAATCTAAAATGTAAAAGATTCGAATCGATGACCTATGAAAAAATGCCCCAAAACCGCTCGTCCATTTCTCGAGACATCCACGATTATCGACTGATAATCTGAGATAGTTAAAAAACCGAACTAAACAAACTCAGTAAATTAAAGTATCCCCAAAAATTCCAAACATATTAAGCAAATCCAACTACCCACACGTACATAAAAATGTATAAATTAGAAAGAAAAAATAAAATTGAAGAGCAAAGAACAACTCCAGATTCTAAGATACACAAAATTAAGCTCTCAATTCGTCAACAAGTCCAATAGCTCTCGTTTCTTCAGCCTCGACAATCCTTTTATGCCTCGAGATTTAGCCACGGCTCGTAACTCGGGCAACTTCATGCCGCTCAGATCGTTGTTTTCGATCACATTCGCTTCTTCTGAATCATCAACCTCATCAGCAGTGTCTTCGATATCAGACGTTTCGTCGTCTGAACTTTCATCAAACCCACGAAAGGCCTTGCTTTCAATCTGAGGTTCAGGCTCAGTGTCCATTTTGATCTCAGGTGTGGAGTCGGGCTCATGCACGACCTCCTTCCGTTTCCCGTCTGTTCTTGAAAGCGATCCAGGAGTGAAAGACTCTTCACCAGATAAAATTGGCTTGTATTTGAATCTAGGAACCGGAGACCTGCGTTGGAAATTTGATGCGGGTCTGACAGATTGGGTTTCAGTGTACTGGACCTCGTGTTTCACTCGGTTATTATTAGACTCTTTCAGAGTTTTATCTTCGATAAACGAATTGTTCTGCTCGGGCTGGTGGTCTAAAACGAAATCTCGGTTGCTTCTGCTGCTGCTGCTGCTGCTCTTTCCATGTTGAACAGAGTGTTTTCGCAACAGTTTGAGAAGAGAATCCACGGTTTCGTTCTGTTTATTATGTCCTTGTGATTCTTCGACCTTTTTCTCTTCCTTTTGAGCAGCTCGTTCTCGGAGTTGGGCCTGGACCTTTCTGAAAATTTCTACAATTTCCCGCTCCCTTGGTCCAGGAGTTGCAGTAGATTGGAATTTGGGGGAAGCAGGGCCCGAAAGAAAAGATGGTCCATTTTTGGAAGAGAATACTTCAGAGTCTTCGAACCCATCAATCCCATCTCGATCTTCGTTTTGCCTATTCTTGTTTCTTGAAAACCCTTGTCTATTTTGCCTAGAAAAGTCCGGGTTTCTTCTCTGACCGCTAGAATTTGCGTTGCAAATAAAAGACATGCTACCCCTAGAAGAACATCCAAAAGGTACCATCTTGCCCTTTTGGAACCTTCTATAGTCGTTACAAGAGAAGCATGGTGATGCCACAAATGCCTTTAAGCACCTGACATCTGATGATCCATAACCTGAGGAAAACCAGAAAGAATCTTAAATATTCAATCTGTCGTACTCGAGGAGAAGATACACAATCTCTCAGTTCAACCTACAAAGGGATTGTCTACTGTTATACCCTATGCTAGTAGTGGTACAAGTAATTACTGAATTTAGCGTACAAGTAGGTAATGCATATATGTCTAGTATAAATAAGTCGTGAGGGACCAACAGGTGGGCATTCTGTCATGTAACCTTTTGGACGTGAGTCTGTGGAAAGACTGGCCTCTCGAAAGCCATAGAATCGATTGTAAGCCATCTGTACAGAGTGTTATCTTTTGATTTCTCAACCAATATGATGAATGTGCACCATCTACATGTGATTCACAGTCTAAATGTTCATGGTCTATATTGGGTGGATCTAGTTATAGATATAGATATATATATAGAGAGAGAGAGTTCGTTTCAAATGCAACCCATCACATTTGTACAACCAATGCAACCCAATAAATTGAGATGTTTATGGAAATGATGAGAGTTCATTTATTATGATTTGAATATTTATGGAAGATGAATAGAGTTCATTAATTATGATCAATACTTTATATGCTTGCAAAGATTTTGGGAAGTTAACGAGCATAATCATTGCATGTAGCAGAGACAAATAGAACTGGAGAAACTATAGTGCAAATATGTTCACAGTAATCTTTTCCAGGTTCCTAAACAAATATATTCTGCTTGCTAGATGCACTAGAATAAACAGCATAGCACTATGTGCAGTTGCAAAGAGCGTATATTTCACCAAAGGGTCATTGGCTCAGTGGTGCACAGGTTACCGGTTGAGCCCAACCTTCTAGGAGGTCGAAGGGTTCAAACCTTACCAAAGGTGAGGAGTGTGTATGAGTATTTGCCGTTTGTAAATATCATATACTTCGAAAAGAGAGTGTGTATTTCACTGGATCAGCACAGACGTTTTAACCCACCAAAACATCCAACACACCCATCCAATATTTCAACCATTTAATGTTGACAATATGGCAAGATGACAAGAGCTGACTCTCCACCTTTTGTACATGTGAAAACTTAGAGCAAACAACGAAAAGGGTATGCCTACGTTTATCCAGAAAACAGTATGCGCTCGAGAAAAAAAAACTGAAACATGGTTCGAATGCATACTCTATAAATGGAAATGCAGGAAAATAAACTATATTACAATTTACCAGTTTCTAACTCTGGTGAGTAAAACACACACCATAATTCAGTACAAAGGATTTTCTCTCTAAAAATTTTGTGAACGGTGAATGCTAGACCTTTTGAGGAAAATTGATGAACAAGATGCTGCTTTACTTCACAACAAGTGTTACATATCGAAAATATATGGTTTTGAATACCAATTTTGTGTTCAGAAAGTAGTAGTTCAACATCAAATAATCAAAGTAAAGCTCCTTCTCCAGGAAGAGGGTTTAATAATTTGCACTAAGGCAAGCATATTATGCAAGAAAAGACTTGCTACAGACATCACTGGTACGGATAAACCTAAGTTCAGTTCGTAAACTCATTCAGTCATTTCATCGAACAGATGACATACAAACACGTAATGACTTGAAAAACCATTAAAAAAAACAATATCATTCTAAAACCCAGAAAGGCAGAAACTCCCGTGAGGAAATCAATAATCTATCGGAGATGCTAGACCTAAAATCAAAGAAAATAGATAACAACTTCAAGAACATATGAGACTTACACCCTACTGAAAAGGTAGAAATTACATGGAGAAAAGCAAAAGGAATATGGGTAGGTATGCAATTCAGTGGACGGAGAAGTAGGAAGATATGGCCGGAAAACTTACCAGGGACGTTGTGAGAGAGGAGATGAGACGCCGGCAACATTACTTGGAGCGAAGGTTTTTGGGGAGTGTTCGTTTGGGGTTTTGCATTTTAGAGGTCAGGGGGAGAACCCTTTATTGTAATAAACTCTTTGTTAAGGGGCAAATTTGGAAATCAATACATAATTTCGTTTTTAGGGTAAAAATACTTTTTACCGTAACACGACATTCTAAAAGGGAAATAGTTAACTTTTAGGGAACAAATTTTGAAAAATACAAATCATTAAAAAGTTCAATAGAATATTATTTAGCTCTTCCAAATTTAATTTCAATTATAAAGTGTTTGGTTAGTTTTTCATTAAGGCATTTATTAATGTGTACATGTATGGATAAAAGTGTACATGTGAATTAATTTATCTTTATAGATTAGAAAAGTTTTTGTTTGGAAAAGTTTGTTCATAAATGAAAGGAGCATATTTTTTAATTGGATGGATCAGGGGTTTGGAAATTTTTTGAGTTTTTGCATAAAGTTTTCCCTATAATCTTATTGAATAAGTCATTTTCTATATTATTAAGCCACTACTAAACGATCATGTATAATTGACCAAATACAATTGAAATAATTTTAAAAAAAAACTAATTTTTGTCTTGTTAGCAATCATTTCCAAAGAATTCTTGAAATTTGAAGAAATTTGCCTTCTTTTTTCCAGCTTTATTTGTTTTGGAAAAAGTTCTAAAAAAATCTGATAAACTTCAAAATCAACAAAAAAAATCCACCAAGTCCTCATTTTCTCCATTTTGAAGAATCTGTTGTAGATGCTATAACATGCTTGTGGCATGTTACAAACATTTTAGACGCATCACACGCCCGAATACACAATTTTCTCCGGGTATTTTTGTCATACATTTTTTATGGTGAGATCTTCTCCAAAATAGTCATTTTACACTTTTGGGTAGAGGTCGGATCCACATACATTATGCTCTCAAACTTCATCATTATTGTATATGTTGCAAGCCCATGGACCATGGATAAACATAAACCCCGACCAACTCAACTTGAAATAATTTAACACGATGTCTAATCAAGTTGTAAAATCTTCAAACCGTAAATATTGAGTTAATATTGGGTTAGACTCATTTAAATCCAACCCAACTCAATGAACCCAATACATCTCTCATATGTTAATACGCATATCCTGCTGGATAATTCATAACCGACGCCTTTGATCTGCATAGTTGTTACAGACAACTGATTAGCTCTTTTCATAAGTGTATTATGATTAAACATATGCAACTAATGGTTGTTTAAGCATATCACTATAATACTACCATTAGGTCGTCATCCCAATTCATGTGCAACCCTAAAATTTATTTGTCACCTCATAAATCGCAGCATTTTAACAACAATATATGGATAACAGGTTGCTTGAATAGCAAGAATGACACCAAAAATTTGCCATTTTGGTATGATACATAAGGTCCGGGCCTTTCAAACCCGTTTTCGTTGAGGAAAAAAGGTCCTAGCTTTTTGAGGCCCGGACCAAGCTTTGAGGTTGAAAAGGGCCTGATTGGGCTTTTCGGGTTTAACTGGGCTTTTCCAAACTTTTTCGGGCCAGGTCTAGTCCCGGGTCTGCCCCCAAAATTTCGAGCTTCGGGCTCACTAAGCCCAGGCTTTTATGTGCACCCCTAGTTTCCAAGGCATCCAAACCAACACTGTCAAACCAAACCCATGACAACCAAACTTCAAAACCCTACTCGAGCTCAGGTTCGACTTCAAGCTTGTGTCTTTTTAGCTACAATTCATATCAACAGGCCAAATTCTGGGCACTCAAAGTGCGGTGTGCTCTATAGACTTTAATCAGTTGAGATACAAGAACGAAAATTCAATCATTAGGTAACTGAAGAAAAATCCAAGCAAGATTTATCAACTGCTCTAATTGGATGGAAGTAGAAATGTGTAAAAAGAACATGATAAGAATAAGCAGCCCATCTCCCAAAAGATGAAGATGATGTTCCTTTTAACTTGAAGATCATTAGAATCAAGAAAATCTCAACTTTCATTATTTGGATCTTCGTTCTCGAGGAAAACATTAACAGAGTACATACAAACCGATTTGGGAGGGTGTCTTACTTGCAAATACTTTGCTAAGCTTTGTGGTTTTTCGCCATTTCATCGACATCCAATTCCACTTCCAACACCGGCAAGTCTTTCTGCATACTGAATTGACTGCCAAATGTAAAAATAAACGTGTCATTTTGAGTTCTTTTTACCTACACAAAATGCAAATATGATTGTATTATTTTTTTAATTCAAGAAAGAACCTGTTTTGAATGGGGCCATGATCAACCGCTGTTCTCAGGCAATACAAGACTCTACCGATTATGTCGTTCATGGAAACAGGTCCAAATAACCGACTATCTTTAGCTTCCTGAAATTAACCAATACCCAATGCAGAGAATTTAGCTAGTAATTGGCAATACAAAGGCAACACAAACTAAGAGACTGTTTGTTAGCAGCTTAATGAGCTTAATGGGATTCACAGCTCATTCAGTCAGCTATACATGACTGTTTGGTAGTGGCTTAATGATATAGAAAGTGGCTTATTCACCAAGCTTCTAGAGGGGAGCCTTATGCAGAAAGCCAAGTTTTTTTACAGCCCCTTCCAATTAAAAAACACACTTCCTCCATCTATGAAAAAACCCTTCCAAACAGACAGCTTTATCCATACAGGAGTTGATGGAAAACCAACCAAACAACCCCCCTAACTGGATCTACACAAAAATATAATTCCTAATATTGTTATAATCCCTAGAAGCAATGCATGAAGATGTATTTGAGAATTTTTCTATGAATATTTCATATTAATTCACCAATATAACTTGGGAAATCATGCGTAATTAAATAAATAAATTTACTTACAGATCTCATGTCTTATCTTACCTTAAGGGTCTGGTTAGGTTGAAAATGTTTTTATCAAACAATCGCGGTACTCTACTTTTACGATTCATTTTGCCCCTTTTTTGGAACAAAACAAAAAAGGTCCTACAGTTAGTGAAGTACATAAGAAACTAACACTACAAACTTTTTTTCATTCACTGAGAACTATAACAAAAGAGTCGACCAAGAACGAAACATGGACTTTGGTCAGCACGAGGTTATTCACATAAAGGCAGGAAAACACCTCAACTGTTATTGCAATGCACCACTTCTAACACCCATCCACCATTAAAAATGAATACGATAACCATAACTTTCTTCCCTTCTCCTAGGTACACGACACCAGTTGCAACATCCCAGGCTAACCGTACAAGATATTGTCCGCTTTATCCACACCTGGACTTATGGTTTTAAAACACGTTTAGTAGAGGAGGTATCCAGTTCCCTATAAGGCAACCTTAGTTCCCCTCCCCAACCGATGTGGGATCTTACACCACTAAATATTGAAGACACGTTTGGTACTGCACTTCCCATTTTGCAAACAAAAAGAAACCGCCAAGAGAGACGCACAATCTCTAATCCAGCCCCTCCACAAAGCAAATAATAACGTTCACTGATTAACCGTATAGTAAATTTTTCTGCTAAATCTACCCACAGAAATTGCTCAAGAACACAAACATGTTGCAAGAGTTGACTGCTCGCCAATCATTTCACAAACTCGTAATAAATTTTAGGTTCTGCTTTATGAATTGATGCCACTTCCTTTTGGAGTCTCTCTTGAGAACTCTTTTGCATCAAGTAGTAAAGGAAGGGAAATTGCATCAAGTCTTTCTAATGTGCAATGTTTCTATACTAGAAGATGCAATATACATAAATTCCAGTTCTTTCAAAAGTAAGGCACAAAGAGTGTGAGTTGTGAAGTACCTTGGGCTTTAATTTGTCGTTGTCAGCCAACACCCAGCACTGATCTTTTTCAAGTACAAAAGGTTCATCTTTTTCATCTTTGGAAACCATTTCGTACCCTTCAATGGCAGCCAATCTTCGAACCAGATAATTATCCGATTTTTCAGGGTCCTTCATGATCACCACATCCCCAACAAAAACACGCCTGCCAAAAGCATTTACATGCAATCAAACAAAGGAAATGGCAGCGTGCGGAAATTATTTGCTCAAGAGCTAAACCACAAAGACATCTATTGATTTTTTTCTAAACGCTACAAAACAAGCAACATAGTCAAGGTCTCAAAGAGATGTCAAAATTTATGACCATGCAAGTGCATTTGGTTGGATATATCGTAAATACAGACACACCATGAGAAGTCAGCACTAAACTTTAGTACTACATACATGATGTCTAAAAAACCAGTAAAAAATCACATACAGCATATTGGAAATCTTATAAGCTGCACAGTGTTAAATTAAGAATATACTGTGCTATGTAGCCTGATGAAAAGGTCATCAAATATAAACACAAATATATCTACCTATAAATTATCCTTATCCATAATCTTTTTCGGTTTTTCCATGATTTTTGAACTCATTAAGGGATCAAATAATCTGCCACAAGCAAGTATTGAAATCCAGCTCGGGATGTATTTCCATAAAATGACAATGGCTGTAATTTTAATATCTGAACCCTCAGCATCAAAAAAATTATATTCATAGTAAAACTTGCAAATCATAGTTACTTAGTTAGTTATAGGTTTTATGAGATTACTGTGGATCTGCGGCTGGTAGTTTCCTGACAAGAAGAGTTCCCCCCTCTGGGGCTATTGTTGGAGCCATCTCCTCTCCTTTGTTCCAATGCAAAAATGTCAATTTTCCTTGGAAAAAAGTTTTCCAAACGTTGTCCCCCACTTCTGTATTAGAGATTTTACCATGTTTGTAGCTCTGCAACAACAACAAAATGTCACTGAGTAATATGCATTTACCAGAAACTAGAACCATTAGATGGATTTAAAGCAACTTCCTTTCAGGAAAGAGTAGATCTATGACTACCGTCAATATCATGATCAAATGCACCCATTTTTTTCTTTTTTGATGAGAGCAAATGTAGCAATCAGGAAAGAGAATTGTGTAGCATCACATGCTTTTACTATGTAAAATTTCGAAGAGTTTGATAGTAGCATTGGTGGTAGCCATAGATTATTTGTTCAAGAAAATAAAAGCAAAATAATCGCTAATAAGATATTGATATGTAGGAGTCACCAAAATCGTCTTCCTTAGATGAATCCCAAACAGTAGTTTCCACTTGTTAACATTTGAGACACAACTTTAAAGACCCATCCACTATCCAAGTAAAACTTTTACATCACACAAAGACAGATAACTCTGATTCATATTTTTGCCAAAACTCTGTCAGATGGTGAGATGGGTTCTCCACTGCAACGCAGTCTTCAAGACTTCCTTCCACAACCAGAAAGGTGGTAGAAAACCCTAACTATCTCCAAAAATTGTGCCTACTTCCACGGTTGCTCAGCGACGTCTTCAATTTAAGTGTTTAAGTAACGAATCAGTTTATCGAAAATGATGCAATAGACAGTGGAGGTGTTGCAGCTTTAAACATATATGCCATTAGCCGTTTGAACTTGGTTATGTAGTTTAAGTGAGAGTTCTGCTGCTTAAAGGGTTTCAAGTTTTAAGTCAAGATCATCTTTGGTTTTGACCGGCATGGGCTTGTGACTGTGTGTTGCTCTTTGACATCTTGATAGTTTTTTCATATTTGATATAGGAGTGACCTTACCTTCTTGACCTTATCCCCCCCCCCCCAATTATTGAGAAAAGTCGAAATATCAAATATATTGTTTGATTAATTGCACATAGATTCAGATCAGAAATCATTAAATGCAGAATGTAGAAATTCCCAGACAATTCTAAACTCTTCTCAGTGATTCACAGTGCAATTGTAATATTCATTTTCCCTTCGGTTATGTGTGCAGGAACATTAGTTCCTCCTCTTTTCTTATTTACTTTCTCATCCAGTTTCATTGTTTCCTCTCAAATTCCTTGTATTATAATCCATCCCTGGAGTTAAAAGTAGAAATTTATAGAAGAATCATTACTGCTGACTCTTGGTAGAAGATAAATGGTGTTACACGCGTTAAGTTGGCTGGGATGGAACAGAAGTGTTTGATAGTAAAGTTGAGACCTTAAGGTTGTGCATATTCTTTACAAAGTAAAAGATAGTCGTGGATTAGGTAAATAAACTTTAAATGGTAATGCATTCTTTTGTTGGACTGGTTCTTGAAAGAACAAAACCCATGGATCCGATCCATTTATCGTATGCAACTCAACAAAAGTGTAATTAGTGAATAGTGAACTTTTTAGGAGAAAAACAGGCATTATGCAGCATTTACAAAGAGTTAGATTAGCTCAAATACAGCCATGTGACTAAATAACATTTGGCCCCTATAATTGCCACTCCCTCAAGCCTATGTTATTTTCTGATCATTGTCCTATCCTAATATTCTTTCCTATTTACTGTCATTGCTTTAAATCCTTTCAGTGAGCCCATAGTTCGTACCACCAATATTTAACTCTATGCAACTTGACATGATGCAGGTTCCCCCGCTCGTCTTTTTATCTCTCCCTTCTCTATCTTCTTGATTCTTACAACAAAGCAACTAACATCACGATGCAGGGCAATCTATAGCTAAAAAAATTAACTGCATCAGATGTGATCATGCAAGGAGTTCAGCTTGCATGTTTATGAGCCCAAAAACCGTGTATTAAGTCATCGTCGATGCTCATTCCATCAATAAACCTCCAAACATCAATTTGGGTCGAAACCCCATTCATTAATTTTAAGTATGACATATGATTGTTATAATGTTATTTTCCATCTTGTAGTAATGTTTCCTTTAATTTGTTTGATGTAAGCACTTTACAATGCATTCTCTATACAAAATATGAAAAACAGGTACGTTTTAACTTTCAATATCAAATGGAAAAGTCTGCAAGTCATTGGGGAGCTTAAACTTCGAGATTATTTCTTATAGCTGCAGTCACTACTCACTACATAACAAACACTACAATTGAAATCAGTTGGAGTAATTTAGCAACAAGCCCCACGTCATGTTGAAACTTGTAGTTTCGGAACTAATCCCGATTAAACATGAACTGAAATAAAACTTATTATAAACTAAATTTGCATACAATGAAAACTTCAGTTAGCATGATGATCATTAGTGACGCCATAATGCAGCTGTATGGCATATAGAAAAGAAATGCGAGCCCAATTAGGTCAAGCATTTGTCTAGGGACGCAATTTCTCGCATAAATAGCTTTGATTAGAATAAACCAAGTAACCCCTTAGAACCTCAATCCAGTTATGAACTCATTTCCTTAACCCGATTGCTTCCTAAAGAACTTAATTCAGATATAAACCAAGTTAACCGTTCTAAAACACAACCAAGGGAAAAAACAATCATTCGCCAAAACGCCAATTGTTTGTCCTTTCAAAAAAACCTAGGCAGAAGGTAGTTTACAGATCTAAATCAGAGATAAACTTAGGTAGAGATGGAGGAACCTTGTAGCTGAGAGCGACGGAGTACTCGAAACGACGGGCGAGATACCGCAACCAAGTTGTGTGGGAAACCATGGTGGCGTTGTGCAGATCGTCGTCGGAGAGGTCGGAGGGGTTGGTTTTGATGTTGGTATTGCCTTTTTCTTCATCATCATTAAACCCTTGCTGCCTAAATAAAATCAAATATGTTTTATTTTATTATTAAATAACAAAAATGGAACCAAAAACATATGGTCATACACACTATCAAATTTCACAATATATACATATAGAGAGAGGGCATCGGTTATTATACAACTCTTTATATTTATACAACCAATATAATTCAATCTCAATCATTCATTTAATTTGATGAATATGTAATTTCATAAAAGTTTTGATTGTTTTCTAATATAAAGTATTGATCATAATTAATGAACATTATTCATCTTTCATAAATATTAAAATCATAATAAATGAACTCTCATTATTTCCATAAATATTTCAATTTATTGCAAATGTGATGGGTTGCATTTGAAACAAACTCTATATATATATATATATATATATATATATATATATATATATGTGTATATGGGGAGATTTAAACGATAACATTTTTATTTTAAGAAAACGTGAAAACATTCCTATCATATAAGATAATATAAGTGAGGGGATTTAGTGGTGTGTGAACGACGTGTCGTACGACATAGATTGCGTCAAAGGTCACCTGCGTATATAGTAGGACATGTGATGGATTGTAATATCACATCAATAACACTTTTAAATACATACAAGGGTGGTGTAGTGATGTACGGGCGACTTGAAGCGCAACCTATGACACGTCAAAGTTCGTTCGCATGTCTTGTTTATTATTCATGTGTATCATATGTGATGAAATGTGGTATCACATGTGATTGACTATAGTAAACAAGTGTCCTCACATCATCGTAAAATAAAGATGTTTTTGTTTGAACTCTTCCATATATATATATATATATATATATATAGGGTTGGGTTATAAGTTGCATATTACATTGTCAACTAACGAGGATCTATCTAACATGTTTAACAAAAGTTTAAGGATTTATTTAACGTGTTTGGAAAAATCCAATTACTCATTTGTTCCAAATATAATCCAATGACTTAATTATTTTAAACACTAAAGTTCATCAGGTTTTATTGAACTTTTCTCTCTTGGCCATGGATAATAAAATGACGTTTATGTCTCTTCTCCCTCTTTGTTCGTCCCTTCCTTCCCTTCGGAGTGCCTTGGTTATATTCTGATGTACATGATTCGCCCCCACCCGAGCGCATAATCTGTCATATCGTTTTTTGTTTTTTTTTACTAGGAGGGGTCTCCCCCGTCCATGTAAAAAAATGATGTTTTTAATAGCATCTTTTCTAAAATTAAAACGTAGTCCTATTTATTGAGCTTTGTGGTCCATTGTTTTGCCTATGGTTTTGAATAGTGCTACGTTTTCCCTTCTACTTTTCAGTTCTAAATAAGGTAGGTTTAATGCTGTGTGCTCGAATTTTGGAAATAAAATAAAAGAAAAGGAAAAAAAAGAAACGAAGGAATGATTTTTTATGTTTTTTAGTTGGAAATAAAGGAATAAAAATGCAATTTTTACAAAAACACTCTTATTTATTTATAGTTAAATGTAATTGATGGGTATATGTGTAATTTTGTAATTTTTTTTGTAAAAAAATACTCGAGAAAATAGCGTAAGGGAAATCATTTTGCAACCAGCCTGGACAGTCCTGACCAAAAAATGAAGATTGATCATGTATATTAAATTCGGCGTTAGACCTTCGTTTCGATCCCAAATCCGGTCCCGAGCTTGGCGTAGTTTAAATGTATATATTAAGACAGAAGGATCGTATGAGTTAACTTGAGAAACGTAAAAATTTATTTGTACCCTTTATTACTTTTAATCTCACCCCCACCACGTGAATTCAAGTGCGTCTCGTTGATATTGATATTCAATTAAGATTGATCCAAATGTGGAGATTCCTTATCACCCTTCTTACCATAACTTACATTTTCACTGGAACCCAACTTTATATTTTAATTACACAGAAAAATATGATTTAAGATACACTTCAAATAGTTTGTTTACGTTAAAAATTTAAAATATATTGAAAAACTCGAACTTATCTTATAACTTTCAAACATGTATTATAATTTACAAAAACACTAAAATTCTTATTACGGGTTTATACAATATCATCCGATGATTTGACATATAAGTTATATGTATAACTTAATTGACAGTAAGCAAGTCAATAATTGTATTTTATTCCATTTGTGCTTCATATGTCCTGTAGCAGCACAAATTACGTCATACCATCATAAGGCCATCGTATATCCATCTTATATCTATAGTATATTTTCGAAAACTATCATACACTACAGTACATTACAGTGTAATTGTCATACACTTCATTTGTCGTATGAATAGTTGGTTATTACCGAATAAACTCATTTCATTGAGTTACGGTTCAACCAAGCATCCTTTAACATTTTGTCTGTGCACATGCATGCATTGATCTCGTAATAAAAATAACCAGGATGGTTTAAATTGCATGTATCATCAGTTCATTCCCATCAACATAATTCATTGACTTTCTAACTGTACAAAAGTCAAACCCCGATGTAGACACGATATTATTGGTGGTGATACATAAGATAATTTTCAATGGTAGATTCTCATAAGTAAAAAATGTAGTTCTTATAAGTCATCGTATTTTTTGAGTTATTGTACAAGAAATTGAGCGTGTTTACAATGATTTGACAAGAAAAAAAAATCATAAAATATAATTTTATAAGTCAGTCAATCGAATATGCCCTAAAAACACCAGTTCAATTAGGATTCATCAACAAACATAATTAATTAAATTGATTTTTTATATACATTAAAAACACGACGTATAATGACAACAGTGGCAAAAGACATATACAATGTTATGTAACATCTATGTCATCATCAAACACCATGACACATGTGTCTTACACAGTGTTAAATGCTTGCTGAAGTATGAAAATCACTGTAAATATAATATTACAGTATGTGTTTACAAGCAATATTTATCCCTGAAGCAGGTGGTCGTCCTGAAATTAGTTGGCTCGCATAGCTGATTTGATGTTTAGGTTAATAAAAAAGATGTACTTCAATAAGGTATGTGAACAACTTTCCGCTATAACTCAGTTAGCAAGGGGGATGAATTGATTTTGCTTAAATACAAGACAACTCTCGACCCTTACTAGTCTGAGCCCCCTGCTAACATTAGCCGTTGAGTGAGTTAAAATTTTGGTTTGTCATACTGTTGTCATTGAAATCGGGTTTCATATGTGGCCGGATGAGATTATGGGTAATTAACTTTTTGCTCACATAAGGTAATTGAGTAATATTTCTAAAAATTCATAAACAATAATATATAGGCACGTTCCTTGTTGACTGCATAATTAGTACAAACCGTGTTAAATGAGGTATTTTCGTAAATTTCATATATTGATACCACGCTCCATAATTATCACATTTTTCTAATTACATCATTCACTTACCATTTTGAAACAAAAATGTAACGAACTTTAAACAAAAATCATTGTTTAATCTATGAATTTCAAACAAAAATCATTGTTTTACATATGAACTTTCTGCTTTTACCTATGAACCACGTTTAATCTTCCTTAATTATCTCGTTTCACCTATGAACTTTGGTTAAAAAAAAATCGAAACAACATTATGAATTTTAAATAAAAATAATCGTTTCACATATGAAATTTGTTTGAACTACCTTAATTATCTGTCCTTTTTTTTTTTTTTGGTTTCACCTATGAACTTTAGTAAATTTATTTGAACGACTAAAATAGAAAGAAGACTAAATCGAAAAAATCAAATTAAAAGATGAATATAATTAAAATCGAATTTAAGGGATAAATGAAATGAATTTAATCACAAAAAACAAATCACAACTTGTTCCAATATTACCTTCATTTAATTTATAAATTTAAAACCTCTAATTTAATCATAACCGATAGATAAAATTGTAAAGTAGACACAGATTCTAATAATATACTAGTTACAGACATTTTTTTAGGAGTTGGTACATTTAGGGTTGTGAACAAACCGAACGAACACGAACGGAGGCTTGTTCATGTTCGTTCGTTTAACTTAACCGAACAAACGAACAAACATGAACAGTAAACGAACGAAAATCCTTGTGTTCGTTCGCTTAGAAATCAAGTATGTTCGTTCGTTGACATGCTAAACGAATGTAAACGAACGAACATAAATGAACGGGTTAAACGAACATAAATGAACGGGCTAAACGAACATAAATAATTTTTTTTTGAATTCAAAGTAAATAAATAAAATATTATATATTAAATTCAATATATAAACAAACGGTAAATGAACGAACGTTCACGAACGAGACTCTTATTCATATTCGTTCGTATAATTAAACAAACAAAAAAATGTATTCATATCCATTCATTTATTAAATAAACGAACATAAACAAATTTCACGAACGGTTTCACGAACGGTTCGTTGAAAGTTGAATTCGTTTATAGCGGGGTACATTTATTTTTGTACGATGGCCAAAAATGAAACCTCAAGTTATGGAGGAAACTCTTCCCTCCCATTTTTAGTGTTCGTCTCCTGTACGCTGATCTGTAACCCCACACTCTCCCGCTGTATAACTCCGACCAAAAATCCATAGATTCCCAATCATCCCGCCGATAGGCGCACCATTTTCCGACCTCCCTTCACCACAAACCTGCCGACACCAGAAAACCCTAGTTTAGGGTTTCAAAACCATGCCAGCAATGGCTTCGCAAGGCAAAATTCACCGAATCGAGCTTGAGAATTTCAAATCTTATAAAGGTCATCAAATCATTGGTCCTTTTTATGACTTCACCGCCATTATTGGTCCTAATGGTTCTGGAAAGTCTAACCTTATGGACGCTATTAGCTTTGTGCTCGGTGTTCGAACCGGTCAACTCAGGGGTGCACAGTTGAAGGACTTGATTTACGCTTTTGACGACCGGGAGAAGGAGCAGAGAGGTCGTAGGGCTTATGTGAAGTTGGTTTATCGGCTTGGAAACGGTACGGAGCTCTTGTTTACTCGTACTATCACCGGTGCTGGAGGAAGCGAGTACCGAATTGATGATAGAGTTGTCAATTGGGATGACTATAATGGGAGGTTGAAGTCTCTCGGAATTCTCGTCAAGGCCAGGAATTTCTTGGTTTTTCAGGTCACTTGTTCTTTTAGTGTTCTTGTATCTTGCTTATTGCTTAATTATGATAGACAACTGTTTTGTTGTCCCTAACTTTGTTTGCATTGATTGTCAATTCGTCATCTCATTACTGAATGATACTTGTCTATTTAGGGAGTGATAAAAGAATGTTAGTGACATGGATTGGAAAAGAAATAAATCCCTGGCTTTTTCTTTCATGGTCAAATACTTGGATTGAAAGTATATTGCATTGATAAGCTTTAAGCCACTGAAAGCTGCTTTGATGACAAATCTCCGGAAAGAGCAAGTACAAAAAACCATAGTAAACCGAATGGAACACTATTTGGGTTTTGAAAATGTAAACAAAGCTAGAACCGATGTTGTTGGTCACTTGGTCTTATTAGATACTTAGATATCTGGTACTGTGCATCAATATCAAATTCTTTAAGCATCTTCTTGTTAATAATCCGTACAATGTCTTACTTTTTTTGGCATAATGTTGCTATTCGATCAATCAATATGTAGTAAAGTTCATGCACAGAAGTTAATAGCTGTCCAGTTAATAAATTTGTTTAGATTGTATATATCTTCTTACTTTTACTCGCATTGTTTTGTATGAAGGGCAAGACTTGGTGTTGGTGCAACACGTAGGGTTACCCGTTTATGATTTGAATATTTGATGGTCATTGGTTGGTGTCCAATTTCCACTTTTGGTTATAAAAAAAAGGAGAAAGCCAGTCAGTTATTTATATTTCTTGCAAGTTACATACATATAATATTTGTTTTCAAGCAGGGGCTGTTCTTTATGGAATGGACTAGCGTCGATTCCTGGGATAAAGCAGGAGAGTTTTTTATGGCCACTGTTTGCAAGAAAGTTATCATGTTTGGAAATTAATAATGATCCAATTAAAGATTGCGATTAACATTTCTCATGTTAGAGACATACTGCGAATAGATAATGATTTGATATGAAGTTAGTTGAGGGCTTACTTTGAATCCTAAGGTGGAAATTATAATTTATCGTCACTATTTTTTAAAGAGAAATAGGTGTTTGGAGAACCCTTTGGAAACCCACTTGTGCTATAGAAAGTGAATTGGGATTCAAGAGAACATTTATATTTTTGGGTTGTCCACTGATTTTTCTGGGTTCCTTAAGGATCCAAATCTTATTAAGGGGGCGTTTGATTAGAGGTACTAAGCAGTAATCAATGGGAATGATAATAAAAGAAACTGTTTGGTTTTATATAGTATAATGAGTTCATTCCTTCAGAAGCCCAAATTTTCATTCCAAATTAACTGGGGGGAATGAAAAGTCATTCCCATTTTCAATTCATGTCCTTTTCATTTTCATTCCCTTTTTCATTCCCCAACCTGAACCAAACATCCCCTAAGGGTTAGTTCCCAAACTGTCATTCTATAAATTCTGAAACATCTAAATTAGTAATGCAATATAATGCACATTTGAACTTATTAACTCTGGAAATGGCTTGTCTTCTAGAACTAGCTCGTGTCTAATTTGAGAGTGGGTGCTGATTCTCCAATTTTCAATGTACAAAATTTGGCAATTATTTTGCTCTTTCTTTTTCCTGCAATATCATCTGCGTGTCATTGCTTTTGCATGAGCTGAAAATATAGGCAGTTAAAGGATGTGATGGTTTTACATTTTGCCAACCCACATCTAGTAGTTTTATAACGATGGGGACAAGTGTAGCCTTGAAGGAAATTATATTATCATGCTTAAGTCTCTCCTCATCACCGATCCCAGCAATAATCCAAGAACTTTAGTATAAACTGTAAACTGCGAAGAATATGAGTACTCAAGAAACTTGATATAACATATGTTCTGTCCAACTGCGATGGAAATTCTTGAAGTAAGTACTTGTTATAATAGATCGATCTCAAAGACGCTGGAATAGATATGTTTCCTGAAGAAATGAAGACTCCCCCAACAACTTTTATAGCCTCGTGTATCTGTATTTAGTAGTATAGACAAGCACAGATTTTTTGACAGTTGCAATAATTCGGTTATCTTTGTGGCTCGGCTAAATGAAGTGGTAGCTTGTAGGTTATCCTGACCGTCTAAATTTGTTAACACGCAGGGTGATGTGGAGTCTGTTGCCTCTAAAAATCCTAAAGAACTTACCATGCTTTTTGAGCAAATATCTGGGTCTGATGAAGATAAGAGATTGTATGAAGATCTGGAGGAAAAGAAAGGTGCAGCTGAGGAAAAGTCTACACTTGCTTATCAGAAAAAACGGACTATTGTTATGGAGAGAAAGCAGAAGAAGGAGCAGAAGGAGGAGGCCGAAAAACATATGCGTTTGCAAGAGCAGTTGGTATGCACTGCTGTATTTCACTATTGCTGTATGCCTATACATATAGTCTGTGTATGCATGTGTTCATTTTGGTATCTCATACAACCAACATTGTTTTTAGCCAGGTTTGCATGTAAGATTTGAATGAGCAATTAGTTGCATTAATATATGTTTAGTGATCTCAATGCCATATTTATATTTGCTACTGTATGCATTAGAGATTGAAGCTACCAAACCAGACCAAATTAACCCAGTAAATACCACACAGAGGGTGTTGAAGATTGAAACTGTTCCAAGCAAACTTTAAAGCCTAGTTGACCCTTTTGATGATTATTATTAATTTATTATTTGATCCTGGTACTTTCTGCACCAATATTGCTCACGTATTTACCTTTTTTTTGCAGAGATCATTAAAGAAAGAACACTTCTTGTGGCAGTTATTTAACATAGAAAATGATGTTGAGAAGGCCAATGAGGAGATTGAAGCTGAACAGGGAAGCCTTCAAGAAATTATTAATGAATTGGATGGTTATGAGAATGAATCACGCAAAAAAGAAAAGGAGCAAGCTAGATATAGAAAAGAAATTGATAAACGTGAAAAGAAGATGGCAGAGAAGAAGAATAAAATTGATAAAAATGTGAGTGCATCTTCTTGCCCCACCAAGAATGCTTAAATTCTTTGCCTTTTTTAATAATGGTAATATCGTTTACACAAAAAGTTATATTCAATATTCATGCTTGCATATATTAGACCATAACTGAGAAATGCATAATTGATATTTGTGAGCCTTGTCTATAAGATTAAGGGAGGATATAAGAAGAGCAATGGAAAGAGGCTGACATCTTTTTGAAAGCCCGAAGACAGTCTACTTTAGTTGGTAAACCGTGAAATTCTTTTAAGGGCAGTAGTGTCTTAGATTGGAAACACATGCTTTTATATACACAAATTTGTAAAAGATCTTTTTTTCTTCCTCTAAAAGTTGGAAGAAAATCTGAAGTAGTTCTCTGTAATTTATCAAGGCATAATGGAAGGTTCGTAGCTAATGAAGAATAATTTGACGACTACGAAAATAAACAGCAGAAATGGGTAGATGAATCCATAAAATTTGTATAAAAAATAGCCATCAGCATTGCTGTCAAAGGCGAGCTTAGCTTAGTAGAGACAACGTGAGGGTATCCTTTTTCCCAATTAAGTCTATTTTGGTATTGTTTTTTAACCTTATATATTTCAGAAATAGAATGCGCAAGGCAACTTGTAATGTTAGAAAATAGTGATTACAAAAGGCATCTTATGTGTAATATGTGAAAAATAAAATGTTATTATACATTGACAGCATTGAGCCTCTCTTTACCTAGTCGATCACCTCTTGTGATGGGGGCCCTTGTTGCCTTAGCTTGCCTCTCGCTCTAGACAGCGCTAGCTGTAGGTTCATTGAATTTCAGACTAGCCTTTTGGAATTGTTGAAGTCCATTATATTCTCCTTTTCATGGTTCAGTTGGTACAATGGTTGCTTATTATATACAGTTTACTGTCTTAACAGCAACCAGAGCTTCTCAAGCTGAAGGAGGAGAAATCTCGTTTAAATGCAAAGCTTAAAAACACTGGGAAAGAGCTTGACAAAAGGAAAGAAGAGAAGAAGAAACACATGGTTGAAATTGAAAAGCTTCGGAATAACTTGGAGGACCTTACCAAGCAACTTGACAGCTTACAAACAAAAGGTCAATCTGAAGGTGGGAAGCTTCATTTAGCTGATGATCAGTTGGATGCATATAACCGCATGTAAGTACTTATTTGTCTGGCATTATCAGTATAAAAAAAAAATTACGAAAGAAGAAAAAAAGAGGGAGGGGCCTCAAGGGAAAAGAAGAAAACTACTTTATTACTTTATGTTGTCCAAGAGATTTGAACATCCGAATTCCTGATATGTTAAATTGCGATTACTGTGTTAGGCTCTTAGATTAGTTCATTCAGACTGTCTTGCTCCAGAAACATTAGGGAAAATCTGAATGACTAAAGCACACTATATTTACTGATTGTTCATGTTTTGAGACATTTTTTTGTTTCCATGTGTGCATGCATACAAGCATTTAATGATCTGAAGAGCAAAACTGTCTCAAGTGTATGCCAATTAATTCTAAAAGTTGATCTGCTGCAGTAAAGAGGAAGCTGGTATGAGGACTACCAAGTTAAGGGACGATAAAGAGGTTCAAGACAGGGAACAACACGCTGATGTAGAAGCTCAAAAGAATTTGGAAGAGAATCTTCAGCAGTTGGAGAGCAGGAAGCAAGAGCTTGAGTTGCAACAGAAACAAATGCAAAGTAGACTAAAGAAGATTCTTGATGCCATTGGCAAACATAATGAAGAGCTCAAACGATTGAGAAAGGAACAAAATGACACGAGGAAGAGACTTGGAGATTCCAAGTAAGTGAATTGGTACCTAGATATCTATCTATTATCATATATTCCATGTTTTTAACTTTCCATCCACCCTATCTTATTGGCATGCAGAGGGATATATCATCCTCTCATTTTCTTGTCCATCCATGTCGGTGGATGTTTTCCAATGTGGTTGCATTTTCTAGTACTGATGCCTCTGTTACTTGCGCAGAGAAAAATATGAGATGTTGAGGGCAAAGATAAGTGAATTAGAGAATCAGTTACGTGAGTTGAAGGCCGACAAACATGAAAATGATAGGGATACAAAGTTGTCACAAGCAGTTGAGGCTCTCAGGCGCCTATTTCCTGGTGTTCATGGTCGTATGACCGAGCTGTGCAGACCGACACAGAAGAAGTATAATCTTGCTGTTACCGTTGCTATGGGCAGATTTATGGATGCTGTAGTTGTTGATGATGAGCATACAGGAAAAGAATGTATCAAGGTAAATAACATAGATAATCTATCTGATGCTAACATCCTGTCCTTGTTTTGTATGGCACTACCTTTGTGATAGTTGCTTGATTCATAAACATATAACTTGATTCTTTATATCTACCTGGTCATGGGTAAATATTAACTCCTGAATTAGGTTACGAACTTTCCATTGAACATGAATCTAACTAGCACCCAACTAGAGCTTGTGCTTATTTTCCATTGAACATGAACCCAACTAGCTAATGAACTTGGCATCTGCAGTTTCTAAGTGTTATATGTAGGTGAAGTTTTCAAATATCTCTACATGGAAGATACATTAACATTGTGTTCTCGAGTTTTTTTTTTGACGAAGAAAGGAAGGGAAAGGGAAGAAAAAGTAGGAGGGAAAGAAAAAAATGGTGTTCCCGAGTTTTTTTAAGGAGGGAAAAGGAAAGGAAGGGAAGGAAAATAATGTTGATTTCCCTCCCAAAACTTTCCTCCTAAATGTGGGAGGAAAGGGAAGGAAGAAAAGGAAACCATTTATAAAAAAAAAAAAAAATATACCCATCAATTACATTCCACCATAAAATAAATAAATGTGTATTTGTAAATATGTTTTCTTTCCTTTCTCTCCCACTCAAGAACAAGGAAATTTATTTTCTTTCCTTCCCTTTCCTTTCTTTCCCCTCACTCTCAAGAACACAAATAAAAAATATTCTTTCTTTTCCTTTCTCTTCTCTTCTTTTTTTTCCCTTCTTTTTCTTTTCTTCTCTTTCCTTCCGAAATTCGAGAACACAGCTTAAATTCTTACAAGCAATCTTACAGGTCCAATGGTACTACCAGATTTGGGTTTTGTACATGAATATGAAGGGAATTGCTGATAAGCACCAATACTTTTTTGTATGAATTTTGATATTTTTTCTAATTTTTTTTGTTAATGAACCAATGAAACAGCCATATCAAGCTGTAGTGCTATACCAATCAAACCACCTTTAGCTAGAGCTTCACTTGTTCATCAATTGATTCTAAAGATTGAGTTTGATTCTTTTCCAAAAAGACGAGTATTGTGCTAAGACTTTGACAAAATGCTCCAGAAAGTGATCATTATCTTGATAGTTCTTTTGCAGCCATAAATACAAGAGTTCACATAATTATTTGTATTTATGATTTTAACACCTTTTGTATGATACCAACTACATTTGGTCGATGTAAACTTGTGATGCATTTCTGTATTCACTTGTCTTGTGCAGTATCTGAAAGACCAAAGGCTTCCTCCTATGACGTTTATACCTCTTCACTCGGTCCGAGTAAAACCAATCATTGAGAAGCTGCGAACCTTACGCGGAACTGCAAGGCTTATCTTTGATGTGATCCAATATCCTTTTATGCCTCCATATTTTAGTATTATTGCAAACATTTAGGTCTTTATGAAATATTTCCCCAGTCTCATCCTATACTTATTCCTATACTCATGGCAAAAAATATTTGTGTGTGAATATATATGGTGTTCTGTAGTGGACAATTAGGGTGTGTGACAACCTTGAACAATACCTTTAATCGTACCAATCTTTTCATCATTTTATGTTTATTGTGGCATTTCATATTCATGGTGTCTGCATGATATGGTCAATCATTTGAGTATCGAAGCGGAAACATCACTCATAATTATCATTTTTTAGCCACACTGCTATTTAATTCAGCGCGCCTATACTTTGTTGCAGTCTTGTGAACTTGTCTTTGATTTTTGTAACTTGTTTCATTAAACTATGGTGGAAACAAGCACAATCATGTAGGCAGAAAATGCATTACATGCCCCGACATTTCAAGAGCTACACGAATGGGGACTGCTCCAAAGCTTTAAATATAGCTTTGTAGCATGTGGTTTTCCATCTCTTTACTCCCAGAAAATCAACATACCAAGATGCTTTCAACTTGCCCGGCTGTAGTTGCCCAACATCTTTGATTTCTCCTGCCATGTTCTCCAAAATGTCTATAGCGCTTTGTGTGACAATTTATTCTTCATTCTTTTGTAAATAACCCAACCACATCGCAAATGCTAAAATGAAGGGCCACGCACTTCATGCCAAACATAGAGAAGATCGGGTTCTACTAACTCTAGGGCTGAGTTAGGATGCAAAAGGACATGACCATCCCGCTTTTTTTGCCGGACATGAAGCAATGGTCTCAAGTCTTTTTTCGTTCGCCTTAAATTATGCAAAAGTGAGTAATTGGATATCCATCTATCCTTAATTGTTGTCCATTGGAAGTACAGACTATTATTTTAGTTGCTGGTTTTGCATTTTTTTTGTGGCGTTTTTCTTGGATGGTTAATTGGTGGGTTGTCTGTTGTGGAAACTGGTTCTCTGGATTTGGGGATTGGGAAAGTATTATTTGTTAGAGAATAAATGATTGCTTTGGACAAAGCTCTTCTAGAGTTGGTTTTTTATTTTGTTAAAGGAAGACTATATGGTATTAAAACTTCTGATCCAGAAGGGGTAGTTATAAGCTTGTTTACTTAACAATCAAACATTTGATCCAGTATTGGATAAGGCCATCCTATTTGCTGTTGGGAATACTTTAGTCTGTGATGATCTTGATGAGGCTAAGCATCTAAGTTGGACTGGAGAGAGATTTAAAGGTAAAGCATGACATATTTTCTTCTTCTACAGGATGCTGATGGCAAATTCATCTTTATTAATGATTTTTGTTGTGGTTGTAGTTGTGACTGTTGATGGCATTTTATTGACAAAGGCCGGTACCATGACCGGCGGTACAAGTGGTGGAATGGAAGCGAGGTCACATAAATGGGATGATAAGAAGATAGAAGGTTTGTTGGATTAAGTTAGCTATGTATTCTTAATCTTCTTGCAGTACCATTTAAACGTGGCAGTATTATTCAGGTCTCAAAAAGAAGAAAGAAGGGCTTGAAGCAGAGTTGCAAGAGCTGGGGTCAATAAGAGAGATGCATTTAAAAGAGTCTGAAGCATCTGGGAAGATCAGTGGGCTTGAGAAGAAGATTCAGTATGCAGAAATTGAGAAGGTTGTTGAATAGACTATAGAGTGCCATTTTGCTAATGGTTTATTATTTGTTACCTTGTTGTTAACTTTAGATCGTTTATGTTGCTGATCAGTGTCCTAATATCATCTTTTTTCATTTGTCTGTTGCAGAAAAATATGGAGGAGAAACTTTCAAAATTGACAGTTGAATACAGTAATATAAAGAATGAAATTAGTTATATCGAACCTCAACTTCTTAAGGTGCTGTTGCAGCAATAAATTTAACCCTGTGATTTTGTTGATTATACCATATGCGTAGAGTTGACCCCAAAATGATTTTATTGCTCTATTGCAGATAAAAGACAAAATATCTTCAAGACAACGAACAATATTATCGATGGAAAAGAGGATCAATGAAATTGTTGATAAGATCTACAAGAGATTTAGCGAGTCTGTTGGGGTGGACAATATCCGCGAATATGAAGAGAACCAGCTTGCAGCTGCCCAGGAGTTGGCTGAGGAAAGGCTTAGCTTGCGTAATCAGCAGTCGAAGCTGAAATATCAGTATGTTTATAAGTTTACAACTTGTAGGCCATAGTGCTGATTGCTAGTGGTTCTCATGCTTGATGATTTTTACGACCCTTTCTAAAAAAGGAAAAAGACCGAGGTAGTTAATGTTGCCATATTATTATGTGTGCAAGAGAATAGGTTAAATCTTCTGCGGTCATGTTTTTCTAAAAGTAGTAGCATCTCATCAATTAGGACCTTGTCTTTTTAATTCATGGCAAGTTACTTGAGCTGTAGTTGCCAACTGAATTGGGATGCAATCCACCCCTTTGCTGTTTCAAGGCCCTTTCAACTTTCATTCTCCCATGATACACTTCTTAGGGCTTGTTTGTTAGCAGCCTAACGAGCTTAATGGTACTCAGCTTATTCGGTCAGCTATACATGATTTTTTGGTAGTGGCTTAATGATATAGAAAGTGGCTTATTCAGTAAGCTTCTAGGGGGCTTTATGCAGAAAGCGAAGTTTTTTTTTCCAAATGTGTCCCTCCCAATTAAAAGACATGCTCCTTCCATCTATGAAAAATCCCTCCCAAACAAAAACCTTCCCAATCTACAACAGACTTTTTTCATACAAAACTTAATGGAAAACTGACCAAATAGGCACTTAGACCTATTTACCCTATGAGCTTCCTGTGTGTGGCCCTTAAGGGCACCCTCCTCTTTCCTGTATCTCATCTTGTCCTTATTTCTCTTTGGAATACCCATTATTGATGTGAACATCATCATAGATATTTTTCCATCTTAGCAAGCTCACATAAGTCATTGATCTTCCCTTAACCCCAACCATCTAGCAAGACCCTACACCTACATTTTCGTTCTCTGCCATAACTCCCGTTCCGGGACAAGTTGGAAGAGGAATTCCTAATTCTTACAMGGATGAGACTGCCTGAAAAGTAAGAAATTCTGACACCTATCATTTTCTAGTGAGTATGAGTTGTATGTTTTCTATTTCTTATAGGATTTTGATGAAATAAATCTGATTTCATTTTCTTGATTATGATTAGGCTTATAGATTGTTTGGATCCCTTTCTGAAATATTGGATATGCAACTCATATTTGCCACTGTCAAAATGACTTGCTATCTTTTGATATTTTCTAATACGTTGATAATTTTATTCATTATCATATGACAAGTATTCTGCTAGTTAAAAGGTGAGCTTGCTGAATTCCCATTTCATAGACATGCCCTTCTTTGGCTTAAAGTTTTAATCAATATCTGCTATATTCTTTCTTCATCTTAGCCTTGTGCACCGTCTATGCTTTTCGAAGACCATCTCTATACTAATATCGGTGTTTTGGCATCAAATATTCATGTGGTTAATTTTGTATTTTCAGGCTGGAGTATGAGAAAAAGAGGGACATGGGAGCACGTATTGCTAAGCTGGAAGCATCACAAAATGAACTAAAAAATGGTTTGGTCGAGGTTGATGAGAGAGAGAAAGAACTTAAATCGACCATAGAGAAAGCTGCGGAGGAGATTAATACGTTGAAGGAAGAAGTACAGGGTATGTGCCCAAATCCCCTTTTGGTCCAAATTGAAGTTACATCATGTACTCCTTTTTCCGGGCCATCTTTCGTGAGGTCATTAGAGGATCCATATCCTGGCCATGCGTAGCTGAATATTTGAGGAACATGCATTGTGGGACCGGGGTTGTTTCGAAAACTTCATAATTGAGGGAAAGTTCAACCTTCTAATACATGCATGTTCCGGTGTACGTTTGGTACACTGGACAAAATAGGGATCACTGTTCCACGTTTGGCCGGACTTTTAAGTGGAACATACAGGTACAGAGTGGAACAAAGTGAAACAGGCGTGTTCCACTCCCACCCCATGGAACAAGGTGGAACAAACTTATGTTTTACCAATATAACCTCAAAATAAAGCCTAATTCTCTTCTAAAACACCAAATACGCTTTCCTCTTTACATTTTATTCATTCTTTAAATTTTATTTTTATTGTATTTTATTCTATTTAAACTCACTTTATTCTCCTCAAAATATTATTTTTATACAGTTTCCATACTTTTATTAATTTATGTAATTTATCAAATACTAATAATAAAAAATAATACAGAAAAGGTGTAAAATAAAAATTGGAAACTAAAACTTTTTTTTGGTGTCATTTTAATCGTCTTGTAAAAAATTTCTAATGATATATTTTGTTTCAAAAAATATTTATTTTCTAGTTATTTGATAAATTACTTAATTAATCAAAATATATAAAATGTAGAAACAACTCATTAGGGGTAAATTGGTCATTTTATCTGTTCAGTTCAGTTCTATCTTATCACACTCTGAACAGTTGTCCTACTCTGTTCTATCCTGTCTTGGTACCAAACACACCCATAAAGATATATGATCAGTTACCCTATCACGGCATGCATTACTAGCAATTAATTGAACTTGTGACAACTTTTTCTTTTGTAGAATGGAAATCATTGTCGGAAGGGTGTGAGAAGGAGATGAAAGAATGGAAAATAAAGATCTCGGCTGCTACAACAAACATAACAAAGCATAAAAATAGGATCGATGCTAAGGTCAGCCCTTTTGAGGATGAAAAGTATAGAATTAACTGCTTGATCAGGTTGATATTTGCAACAAAATTGTTTTTCCAAATTGTTTCATGGGTTTAGCATCGTGGGTTTGCAGGAGACTCTAATTACACAATTAAATTCGAGGAAACAAGATATTCTGGAGAAGTGTGAATTAGAGCAAATAAGTCTTCCAACTGTGGCTGACCCGATGGATATTGAATCAGCACCAGGCCCAGTGTATGATTTCAGTCAACTGAGTAGATCACATCAGCATAACATGAGACCTGCTGAAAGAGAGAAGATCGAGGCGGAATTTAAGCAGAAAATTGGAAGCATAATATCGGAAATTGACCGGACAGCTCCAAACTTGAAAGCTCTAGATCAGTATGCTGCTTTGCAGGAGAAGGAGAAAGCAGCGAGCAAAGAGTTCGAAGAGGCCAGGGATGAAGAGAAAGAAATAGTCAAGCAGTTTGAAACTGTGAGGACCAGAAGGTACTTGTGATATAATTTGCTCTTGGAAAACCGCAAAAAAAAAAAAATGAAAAACTGAAGAACACCCTGGTAACCGTTCATATGGACGGTATGCACATGTGCATACAAGTAATTTCCAAGCAATTTGTCCGATATGTTATGCACATGTTCATAAAAACCAAAAAACAACTTCAATTACTTGTATGCACATGTGCATACCATCTAGATGAATGGTTACCAGGGTGTTCCTCAAATTTTCACCTTTTTGGGGGGTTTTCCTCTGAACCTCCCTCCTTTTTGGAAAACGCAATGGTCATTGGTTTGATGCTTTTGTTGGGGTTCTTTTTATTTGCAGGCTTGCACGTTTTATGGAAGCTTTCAACCATATCTCTGGTGATATTGACAAAATCTATAAGCAACTCACGAAGAGCGGCACACACCCACTTGGTGGCACTGCATATTTGAACCTGGATAATGAGGATGAACCATTTTTACATGGCATCAAGTACACTGCTATGCCTCCTACCAAGCGTTTCCGGGATATGGAGCAACTCTCGGGTGGGGAGAAGACTGTTGCGGCACTTGCTTTACTTTTCTCCATCCACAGGTGCATATCTTAATTTGCCGACATCGTTTTCTCGTATATTTTAAAGTATGCATTTTAAGATTTAAGTAGCATGGATGTTGTGTAATCATGGTTATACGAGTTTGGCTTTCAATTACCATAGATTCAGGTCCGATTCATGTGGAAATAAGAAAAAATGTATTCATCCCACAAGAACTGCGACAAAGGGTTTGTCAAATTATATTAACATCAGTGTTTAAGTAATAGATAATTCTCAAAATGCCCTTGTTTAGACTATTTGGTCGTTGCATACTTACTATCATAGTGTTAGGTTCAGGGGAAAACCGCAAAAATAAAGAAAAACCGAGGGACACCCTGATAACTGTTCATTTGTCCGGTATGCACATGTGCATACAGGTAATTTGTAAGCAATTTGTCCAGTATGCACAAGTGCCTAACATGCACATGTTCATAAAGACCAAGAAACAACTCCAATTACTTGTATGGACATTTGCATACCGTCTAGATAAATGGTTACCAAGGTGTTCCTCAATTTTTCATTTTTTTGGGTTTTCCCCTGAACCTCCCTCTACTATCATAAAAGGTATGCAAATGTCTTTTATTTTTTAAGTTCAAATGGGGATGGGTTTTCGTATATGCACTTCTCATTTCTCCGTGGAAAAATACATCCATTGATATCCAAGGCATCAAATCGATAACCGTAGTTAGTCTTGATTTTGGAGCACAATTTCAGCAACTTTGGTCTAACCATGCTTGCTAATTTTTTTCCAGTTACAAGCCATCACCTTTTTTTATACTGGATGAGGTGGATGCTGCATTAGATAATCTAAATGTTGCCAAGGTTGCTGGATTCATCAGATCGAAATCGTGTGACGAAGAAAGAGCTAGTCAAGAGCCACCGGTTGAAGGGAATGGTTTCCAGAGTATCGTGATCTCACTCAAAGATAGCTTTTATAATAAGGCTGAAGCTCTGGTTGGGGTTTACAGGGATTCTGAAAGAGGGTAAGTTTCTCCATCCTAATTATGTTTTCACACTTGGGTGTATTACCATCTCCGTTTCTTTTATTATATAACACTGAGGGGCTGTTTGGTTGGTTTTCCATTAAGTCCTGTATGGATAAAGTGGTCTCTGTGGATTAATCTGCCTATATAGATTGAGAAGCTTTTTGTTTGGGAGGTGTCTTTCATAGAATGGAATGAACATGTTTTTTAATTGGGAATGATAGGTTTGGAAAAAAACTTGACTTTCTGCATTAAGTCCCCCCTAGAAGCTTACTGAATAAGCCACTTTCTATATAATTAAGCCACTACCAAACAGTCATGTATAACTAACCGAATAAGCTGAGAGTCCCATTAAGCTCATTAAGCTGCTTACAAACAGGCCCTAAGTTACACGTAAAGGCTTGCCGAGCTTTGGACCTGCCTGGCCAGGGATTAGTCTCTTGGTGAAATCAGGCTGGTATGTACTAGAGATGCACAAGGCCTGGGCCTTTCAATTTCAGTGAGTAAAGGAAGGCCTGGGCTTTTATCATGCCAGGCTTTGGGGTTGAAAAACGGCCTGATCCGTTCTTTTTCAGGGCGGGTGGGGCTAGGCCCTTGCCTGCCTCAAAAATTGGCCTGGCTTTGGGATCACATCCCCGAGCTTCTATGGACCGGGCTAGGTTCGGGCTTGGGCTTTTTTGTGCGTCTCTAGTATGGACTGGCTTTACTATCGAAAGTTTACTCATAAAGTTGTAGACAAATACGAAATGTAAAATGACGACTTACATTATGAAGAATGTGAAAAATTTATCTTTAGAACACATTGTTGGTGATTTCTATTGTTAAGATGTCTCATAGACCAGTTTACAGCTTCATGAGTTTAATTGGACTTGCAACTTATTTGGTCAGTTATATATGACTGTTTGGTAGTGGCTTAATGATATAGAAAGTGGCTTAATTAATAAGCTTCTAGGGGATCTTTATGCAGAAAGCCATGTTTTCTTTTCAAACCTGCCCCTCCCAATTAAAAAACATACTCTCATTCCATTTATGAAAAAACCCTCTCAAACAAAAACCTTCCGAATCCATACATAGATTTATCCACACAGACAATTCTATCCATACAGGACTTAATGAAAAACCAACTGAACAACTTCTAAGTTCTGACTGGATCAGCTGGATGAGTCCTACGTCTGATGATGGGATCGAATAGTCCGTGTGGCCTGACCCGGCCCGACAAGGTCGGACCAGTTCATGGTCCGGAAATGGGCACCAAGTAGGACTAATGAGCTACGTTTGACCGGGATGGTTCTTGCTTCCTGGTATTTTTATGCAACCGAGTGAATATGTTATGCACGAACTTGTATTAATATCTCGTATGTGTTTCTTTGTGCAGGTGTTCAAGAACTTTGACGTTCGACCTAACCAAATACCGAGAGTCGTGATCGCTTTGGAGATGGTTTCGGGTCGCATATCTGAAAGTACATACAGATGAACATGTAGGTCTTGCAGGACCTGTTTAGATAATGTAACTTTAAAACACTAGATTTAGTCTATAAGGTTGTGTGCAGGATTTAGTAGCTTTTCTTTGTCGATTAGAGATGTCAGGTAAGCTAAACATTTACATTTGTAAAACCATATGGTTAAAACAAATCAGACTTAACATGACAGAACAAAAACTTGTACGGTCATATGTTTGTTGCAGGGTAGAAGAGAACTGATTGGCACAAAAATGTAGTCCTTTTGCCTTACCAAAATGGGTGGAACATATACAAGACAAGTAAATTACTAATTAGAAGAGAATTGATTGGCACAAAAATGCAGTCTTAGGAGGACAAATGTTACAAAACCGTTAGGTCAGAGGTTTTTTGATGAAAAATCTGTAGCTTATTATCGAGGAGGGTGATATATTATTTTAAATGTTTTTATCAATGAGGTTAAATATAAAAATATATTTTAAAAATATATTAGGATGATGAATTTATAAAACATTTAAATAATATAATTAATAATGAAATTTTGAGTAGTATTGAATTTTAAAAAAAAATTAAAAAAGAGTAATTACAAATTTAATCCCTATGGTTATATGAATATTATGGATTTGATAAAAAAACCAAATCCATGCATCAAAACTAAGATGAAAACAAGATAAATCCTAAAAAAGCAGGAAATAATTTGATATGAAGACTGATTTCGTAAAGTTTTAAACTTTGTTGATCTTTAAAATCTTGTTAGCGTTGTCTTTAGAATTCATCCCGATGAGGTAGGGAGGAGTGAGAGGTGCAAATCTTGAAAGAGGGAAAAAAGGTAGCAACGGAGGTCTGGGTGAGGAATGCCAGATAATGTTGGAGAAGGTAAGGGATACGGTACAACGTCAAAGAGAGGGAAGAGCTGCTGTTTAAATGATCATCGTCTTCATCTCTCATAACCTCAAAATCCCAAACAAAAGAGTATTTAAAATTTAATGGAGTTTTACACCACGTTGAATTCGAGTTCAACAATGATAGTGTTCAAGTGAAAGGTCGGAGATGGCTTTCTTAACAAAAAATATGAGAAAAAGAATAAATTGACCAAAATACCCATGATTTAACGGAATTAAGTTTCAAGAGACTCAATCCGTAACAAAAACGAAACCACAATAACTATACCTGTAATTATTTCGTTTGCAAGATCTAATCCATAATTTTCATTAACTAGAGGGACAAAATTTGTAATTTACTCTTAAAGAAATCTTTGTTTAGTAATTTCACTTTTTATTCCTATAGTTTGAAATTTGTTGCTATTTTCGTTTCTGTACTAATTCCTACTTTTTAAGTACAAGAGACCAAAACAGTAACAAATTGTAAACCAGAAGAACCAAAACAATAAAAAATTGTAAATTGTAAGAACAAACAAAACACGAAATTAGAAACCAAAAAGAACTAAAACCATAATTTCTAAACTACAAGGACAAACATTGAAACTTTTAACAAACTACAGGGACTAAAATTGTAATTTATTCAATCTTTTTTTAGGAAAAAATTAGTGTGGTTGAATAAAATGACCCAAGAAATCAGTGGCCACAAAATAATTAGAAAATGTCGAAAATTAATGATTCTCCGATAGCCTGATCAGAGACCCCCACTATACCACAATCTCACCACCGTTCGAGTTTCCGGCCATCGGTGCACCGCCGGAGCTCGAAATCCACAACAATGGAAGAAGAATCACCAAGCGAAAGCTTCCACGACACCGTTGACGAAGAAACTTTCAAGAAAAACGAAGAACAAGAAGGTTCGATTGCTACAGAGCTGAATAAGAAGAAAAGAAAAGCTCTGTCGGATCTCCGATCTCGGCTGGAAGAATCCATCCTCGATTTCAGCCTCATCGGAGAACAATACAAAGCGTGCGAGAATCTTAAAGACGTCGAACTTTGGGGCGTCCCTTTGTTACCCAGTCGAGGTAGTGATAAAACCGATATCGTTCTCAAGAAATTCTTGAAAGCTAAAGATTATAACGTCCAAAATGCTTTGGAAATGTTGGGAAATACGATTATGTGGAGGGAGGATTTTAATGTGGACAAAGTGTTCGACGAAATGTTTGGGTCAGATCTTGATGATATTGGGTACATTGAGGGTACGGATAAAGTCGGACACCCGTTGTGTTATCAAATGTACGAGTCAATTAAGGAACGGGATATTCTAAGGCGATTACGGTCGAATGATTTCTTACGGTGGCGGATCAAGTTAATGGAGGGTTGTGTTCGTAAACTCGACTTCAAACCCGACGGTGCGGATTCCGTAATTCAGATAATCGATGTTAAGGACATATCGAGACCGTTTTTGAACGAGATATTTCAGGGTAGCAAGAAGTATTTCTCGATCTTGCAGGACAATTATCCGGGGATCATTTATAGATTTGTAAGGCACACGGTTTTAGTTAAATAATAAAATGACAATTTTACCCTTATCAATAGAGAGAGTTAGGGCCGGACTCGCATGAAATGATGCGATGGCACGGGCCACCACTTTATGGTTCCGTCGTAAGGAAAAAAAGTTACGTTTTCAAGAAATTCTCGAGCCACATGGTTTTAGAAACATTTACACTTTTTAAATGATGATTTTATTCTTGATGATAGAAATTTATATGTTTTAGAATAAATTACGTTTTCGTCACTGTGATTTGTTATAAATTATGATTTCTGTCTCCGTGGTTGAGAAATTGCGTTTTTTGTCTCCATGATTTTTAATTCATTGTTATTTTCGTCTTTATTATTTTCAATTTATTGTGTTTTGGTCCCTATAGTTTACAATTCTTTACTATTTTGGTCCTTTGTACTTAAAAAGTAGGACTTTAGTCTAGGAATTAAAATAGCAATAAATTGAAAACTATAGGGACTAAAAATCGTATTTCTAAACCACATGGACGGAAATGAAAATTATTAACAAACCAGAGGGACGAAAATTGTAATTTACTCTATGTTTTATAATTAAGGGTATAATTGGAAAGTATATCTTAATCTTCAAATTCTGTTTTTGTACAATGCAGGTGATTGTGAACGTTCCGATGTGGTTTTTCGCGTTCTATACATTAAATATGCGAGTGATGACGAGAAAGTACAAAGTAATGTACGTGAAGCCATCGGCGATCACCGAAACCCTTCTCAAGTTAGTTATTTTTTCTTCTGCTTAAATTTCTTAATCAAGAAACTTGATAAGATCATAAATTCATGAAAAACTTGTATGAATTTGATGAAGATTCATAGATCCAGAACACCTCTTGGCTCAATACGGCGGCCTCGGAATGAAAGATGGTGAGTTCTCGCTGAACGACCAAGTGTTAGAAGAGAAGCTTAAAGGGTATGCAACCGAGCACCTCACGATAGTCACACCAGAGGTTTGTTCTATCTTTCGTTTTCGGTTTTTTAGATGGAAACAACTGCTCTCATATTTAATTTCTTTCCATTCCCTCATTAAAATAGTTTGGGTCGAGTTTGGTTTGTGGGATTTGATAGGATTTGGAATTAAATTCCAATCCAATCCTACGTTTGGTTTGATGAAATGTTTGGATTTGAAATCCCATCAACCAAACACACCAAAGATTCGTGGGATTTGTTTGTAATAATGTTTTAAAACACGCTTGTAATAGTTAATCACTTTTTGTTTGTGTATCTTGAAAAAAAAGGTGAGTATTAAGCAGAGGTGAGGTGCATATAGATAGATGACACTGTGTAGAGCCAAGCCATGAGATATATTGGGTTAATGAAATAAGAAAATGATGGGTAAATGTGTAAAAATGCAGGTAGGGATGAGAGTAAAATGGGTTAATGAAATAAGAAAGTGATGGGTAAATGTGTAAAAATGGAGGTAGGGATATGGGTTAATGAAATAAGAAAGTGATGGGGGAATGTGTAAAAATGGAGGTAGGGATGAGAGTAAAAAGGGTTAATGAAATAAGAAAGTGATGGGTGAAAGTGTGTAAACATGCAGGTAGGGATGACAGTGTATTGGGATGTAACAGTAACAGGAAGTGATGTGAGTTATAAAGAAGAATTTGTACCAGATGATGAGGGTTCATATAATGTGTTAGTTCAGAAAGGAAAGCAGATTGGGAGGCTGAATTCTAATTCATTTCATGTAGCTGAGCCTGGAAAGATTCTTATTACTTTTGTTAATTATACTTCTAAAAATAGAAGGATTTTCTATAGGTATAAAATTAAACCCACTCTTCCCATCCTACCCTTTTCCAGATGATAATAAAACTACATTCTCTCTTTATTATGCTTTGCTCCTACTTGGTTTTGTTTCACATCAAGATTCTTGGTTGCATTCATGACTTTCTATTTTTAGTATTTCCACATCATGTGTTGAATCTTTTGGATTTTAATTCATGAATAAATCCCATTTGCTTACTTGTCTTGTGGTGGACTTGGCTAACTTATTAGAATCAGATTGAAAATGTAAAAAATAAGTCTTGAATTTGATATATGTTAAATAAATTTAACATATATGGGTATGTATTGATTTATTATATTATTTGTGAGGAAGGGGAATGGAATGGATAGGTTTGAAATGTGGAAATAAGGAAAGGTTTTTTAATAAACACCACTCAATGGTATCATACGTAACTTCCTTCCATGACAACTTTTTGCATTTATTATTTGTCTCTATCACATACTCCAACCAAACACCTTTTTATCAACTTTTTTTTTTTTCTTTTCCTTTTCTTTTATTTATTCATCAATTATATATATAAATATAAGAAAGAATCATTATTCATCAATTATATATATATATATATATATATATATATATATAAGTATAAGAAGGAATCAGACTCTTTATTATTTTTAATTTTACTTCTATCTTATGAATTACATTTAATACAAGAATTGATCCGGTATATCTTATTACTGTTGATCTTTAATTACAATTGATTCAAGAATAAATATTATTTTTTGTCTTTCTCATAACTTTCATTCTTATTGAAACCGATTATATGTATATATATACTGAGAGATTGAAGATGGTTTTTAAGGTGAAAAATTAGGAGAAATAACGTTTGGGTTTGTAGAATAATGTTTGATTCAAAACCCCACCTTCTTTTTGAGCACCACATACCTTTCCAACATTATGGCCCCTTCATTTGATGATCATACTACTTCTTCTTCACGCGCCGCCGCCGCCCTCACCGCTCCTCCCTACCACCCACTTCTCCCAGGTCTCCCTGATCACGTCGCTCCGCTCTGTCTCTCTCTCCTCCCTCCCTCCACTCTCTTCTCCGTCTGCCGTTCATGGCGGCGTCTCATCTACTCTGACTCTTTTCCGGCCTTCCTTTCTCTCTACACTCTCTCCTCCGATCATAATTCCACCCTCCAACTCTCCTCCTTCGATCCCATCTCTTCCCAATGGACCGTCGTTGCTCCGCCGTTATCCACCACCCATCTCTGCCGTTTCTGTCTTCGCCACCCGTCCTTCATCTCCCGTAACTTATCTATCCAATCCGTTTCCGTCTCAGGCCACCTCATCTTACTCGCCGGAACCTCTTCCGATCTTCTTCCCGCCCTCTCACATCCTCTCGTATTCAACCCACTTTCCAAGACATGGTCTTTTGGTCCTCCACTCTCAACCCCACGCCGCTGGTGCGCGACAGGATCCTCACGCACCGCCGTCGTTGTCGCGAGTGGGTTTGGTTCGCACTACACTCAAACCGTCGCTCGCTCCGTCGAGAAATGGGTTTTCCGGGAAACTGATTTTTCTGACAGAAAACGTGAAGATTCAAAATGGGTTTGGAAAAATATGAGATCTTTGAGAGATGGAAGGTTTAGTAGGGAAGCCATTGATGCCGTTGGTTGCAAAGGGAAGCTTTATATGGTGACGTGTGCTAAAGAAGGGGTTGTTTATGATGTAAATTCCGATGGGTGGTCGGAGATGGCGGAGGGAATGTTGGGTGGGTGGAGGGGGCCGGCGGCGGCGATGGACGAGGAGATGATATATATGGTGGATGAATCTAAAGGTGTATTACGAAAGTATGACGATTTAATGGAAATGTGGGTGGATGTTTTGGAGAACGATATGTTAAAAGGGGCGGAGCACATCGCCGCCGGTGGTGGTCGGGTGTGTGTTGTTCGTGGTGGCGGTGGTGGGATTTTGGTGGTGGATGTGGTGTCATCGCCGCGGCGGTTGTGGCTGTTGGATACACTTGCCGGACATCAAGTCTTGGCTCTTCATATCCTGCCGAGAATGTGTTCGCCGGAGTTTCAATCGCCGGTGGTGATTTAGAGTCTAAGAAATATTGATTTAAATTCAAGATTATTGGTTGATTTCATGCTTAGTATTTTGTTATTTAACTTGGAATGATATACCAAGAATTAAACGAATTATAAGTGTATTATTTCATATTATTGATTTTAGTTTTTTTATATAAAATCAATGTTTTATGCGATGTTGCGTGAAACATTGATTTTGAAGTCGAGGAATTACAACACAATCATTTTTCACGTTTTGGAATATGTATGTGCTCGTATCGTTGTTTTGATTGAACACAAAAACATCGTCCCACTTACCGGGATGTTGTAGTAGGGGTGAGCAGCGGAACTGGGTACCCATTTGCGAAACTGGAACTGCCTTGGAACTGCCGGTTTTGAAACCGGAACTGATATAAGTGGTTCCGGTTCTTAAAATACGGAACCTATTGAGAATGGTTCCGGTTCTTAATTTTTGAGAACCGTTACCCGCCGGGACTGGGTACCCGGATCCGGCGGATACCCAATATTTTTCAATAAAAAATAATTAATTTTTTTAAATACTAAATTTAAATTAAGTCAAGAACTTAGAAATCCAGATTCAGAATTTGAGATAAAATAATTCGTATTTTTTCAAATTGTGTGTTTAATTGGATTCGTAGTATTTAATCGTTAAACTTTGAACATTTACAATTATAGTATGTAACCAATACCAAAAAAACCTTGAATTGTCTAATTGAGAGGAGAGAAAGAGTTGGGTGTGGGAAGTGAACTAGACTAGACTAGACTAGACTAGACGTGTATGATTTCTAACATTTGGATTTTGGTGAAATGGTGTTAAAAACTAAAGTATTTATGATTAACGTTTAAAATAACCCAACATCAAACTCCATCCTAACGTTATGGTTGATTCTCTTCCCAATTACTAATATTTCTTGAAAAAGTGATTCCACATGATATGATACCGATACCCAAAACCCACACACCAATTACTAGTATTTCTTGAAAAAATGTGTAGGAATCGATTGAGTTTGAATGGTCTAATCACAACTGAGAGTCCCGTTAGGTCAACGGAAATTTTCATTGGTAGTGCTTAATTACTTAGAAAGTGGTATGTTCAGTAAGCTTTCAAGAGAAAACTTTATACAGAAAGCCAAATATTTATCCAGACATGGCCCCTCCAAATTTAAAAACATGCTTCTTCTAATCTATGAAAAAACCTCTCAAACAAAAACTTTATCAATTATACTAACTGATTAATCCACACAAATATGACTTAATGGAAAGCAAACAACAATCTCGAAAATACAACTTTTGTGTTGCGGGCTAAAGCCATTGCCCAGTGGTGGGTAGTTTAGGTGTCGTGGGCTTGGCCCAAGCCCAATAAACAGTACTTGGGCCACACCATAACCCGAAATGCAATATGTGACAACCCAAGCCCAGTCAATGGACATGGGTTCATAAACCATCTCGTGACCTTAGTCAACAAGTCGGTCAAACCACCGTGCTCCTCCACCGGAGTAGTTTAGTGGTAAAGTTACATAAAGGCCCCTCAAGTTTGATGGGGCTTTTGAAATTGGTCCTCATAACTAAATTAAATCTCCCTAACTGCAGAAATTAGTTGAAACAAAAGATTTAAAAAAACACACCTTTTTTGACATATCTAAATTATTAATACATTATTAAATAATGATAGTAATAAAGTAAATTATATTAAATATTCTTTGGTGTTTGAGTTTTGCTTTTAATATAGTTACCACTTTAACAACCGTTAATTAGTTCCGTTAAACACCCCTCATTACAGGGCAATTTGATAATTTTACCATTTTCTTTAACAAAGGAGTTAAAGACCGTCATATAGCCAAGGATCAAAATCCAAAACAAAATTGGGAACTGCAGATAATATTTAGAGACTTTAAAATAAAATGACAAAAACCAAAGTTTTCGTAAACACCAGGGACTAAAATGTAAATTTACTCTAAAAAACTAAACAATAAACGCTAGAAGGAGGGGTTGAACCTCCGACCTTGTGGTTAACAGCCACACGCTCTAACCAACTGAGCTATTCCAGCTTTTGTTCTAATATCTCTTATGCAAATATTAAAGCCAAACCTTTTTGAAGGATGAATTATAATGAGAAACATACGGGGTTGTTTGTTTTGTTTATTTCTTAATAGTTCTATTAAGATGCATCATCTAAATCGTTAAGAGGTGAACCTTATTTGACAAAAAAAGTTTATCTCTTAATGATTTCAAAACCCTCTAAATGATTTTATATCTTTGGGCATCCTTTAAGCGTCCTAATTTCATTGTAAATAATTATCAAACAATTATATTTCATTTTGTATTATATCATAAAAGCCTCATAATCATTCTGACAGGTTAATGATTCTGCACCAAATCTCATGCCCACTAATAAATTATGATTTTTTTAAGTTGGTAAAGACCCGCCCGAAACCCCATACCCTCTCATTCATTGTCTAATCTAGGCTCTCATTCGCTTACTAAGCTCTGTCAAGCTCCGTCTAATCTAGGCTCTCATTCACTGTCTGATCTAGGCTCTCATTCACTGTCTAAGCTCTGTCTAATCTAGGCTCTCATTCACTTACTAAGCTGTGTCTAATCTAGGCTCTGGGTTCGGTTCACCCATCATACCTACTAAGTAGAAAGCAAACAAACTCGGACGAATGCAACAATCTTGAATAGGAATCCTACAGCGATAGACCATAAAAATACCATGGAAAAAGTGGCTCCTATGCCTTGAGCGGTGATTGAGCTTGATTCCCTGACTTAGGAATTCAGGCTAACATGTGTCTCCTCAGGAGAGGGAGCTTGATTTTTTTTTTTTGGCAGGGGCTCCTAAACAAGAGTTTTGACTTGCCTAGCCCGCTTTTCCACATCCACTTCAGGGAGGGAGTAAGGGCCTGTTTGTTTTAATATATGGGTAATTAAAAGGTAAATCTTTATTTATCCATTGAAAAACAGTAGTCGATGCCTAGTTACCACCTTATTTGATACATATTTATTCTCGTACAAACGAACAAGGAAAAAAGACTCCCTTTTTCCACCTCTTCACATCGTTCTGGCATATATACAACACTTCTAAGACCTTTGGCTGGTCCACTGAGGAGAGAACAGCATGCTTTCGGTTTCCCTGTTGGTTTTCAAGTTCTGGGCTTGGCTTGGTGAGATTTGATATGCGTTTGTGATGACTTCAAGAGGCAGGGCTCGGAACACCGATGTGTATCCTGCTACCGGGCTCTTCATTGGAGATCGGTTCGTCTTGAATGCCACCCACTCGAACCCACTTTCTCCAGCTTGAGCCGTTGTAGCAAAGAACTGTGGAACCACCACGATGTCACCTCGGTTCACCTGTTGGTCCAACACCGTTTGACCGCTGTTTGACACGATCTGGACCCGAGCATTGCCACGGAGCACGTACAGGATGGCGTGATTGTTTACCGCCCAGTGTGGTGAGAACAAAGCATTCTGCAGTTTCACAAAATAATTTTAATTTTATCAATGGGAACCAGATTCATGAGACCCTAAAGAATCAATTTTATTGTAGTCATATATTGATTACCGGTTGGAGGTATCCTTTTTCGGCACTCAGATCCAAGTACGAAAGGACGGGTAGTTTGTGTTGGTTGACGTAGTTGAGCTTTCCAGCTTGGCGGGAATAGACGTCGGCCTCTCTCTGGCTGTCCAAGTTGTAAAGAAGCTTTGCACTGCAAATGGTTTCTTCGAGGCCGTTCAATCCTCCTCCTCTTCCTGCTTGTTGTTGACGAGATTGTCCTTGCTGTTGTTCGTCGGGAGTGACGAATTGCATCGGTTGCTGGACTGTAACAATGAGCCCACGGTTGCGGGATTCCTGCATCGCCCTCACGATTTGTGGGTCGGAGTTGAAAGCCTCCGCCAGTAATTCGGTGTCGAATCCGCTGAAAATGTTCTGGAAGTTAAAGCTTCCTTGCTGCTGTGATCCCTTTCCTTGCTGCCATGGAGTACTGCTTTGGCTTGCAGATCCTCCGGCTAGGTAAAATGGCTACCAGAAAAAAGAAAACCGTCACCGGATAATTAGTCCCTTAACTATTTATGTATACATACACCATGAATATATAAGGATCAGGATATTAACACAAATAGCCATTTCTGACCAAATTTATCCAAGGTGGATATGATGTATAATTACATACCCTGGGTTGCATGTCGAGTTGGTTGGCGGGGTTGTTGAGGTCTCTAATGGCCACAGCCACCACATCTTGGTTGCCGTCGTTGTAGGTCCAGTGAACAGCACCTGCCGGAATGGCGATAATGTCTCCGGGATAGAAACGGTGTACTTTCTGGTGAGAATCTTCTTGTTGGAATTCGCCCATCCGGCGTGGTCCTTGTTGTTGTTGTTGTTGCTGTTGCTGCTGCTGCTGTTGTACTCCCGTGTCATATGTTTCTGCACATCCCGGGAAGTGAATTCCGATGATCCCTTGGCCTGCATGCATTCCCCACAATAATTAATTCATGTATATTAATATATACAAAATGAACACATAATATATGTAAAGATATTATGTATGTATAGATATATACCTTGTTCGATGAAGACAAGGCGAGGGTATGGATGGAAGCTAGGAAGTGAGAGGGAGTTGGGATGTATCGTCTTCCTCACCGGCTCAACTCCAACACACTGAAACTGGTCTTCATATACATTCCATAGTTCAATCGAGCCACCTTCGTATTCGTAGCGTTGAGAAGGTTGGCTGGCGGTGAGCCGCTGGAGGCTGCACCTCTCAGTGCCGCCGAGGCGGGGCGAACGGGTGGTGGCGAGAGCGGTGGTGCCAAGGAGGCACAGAAACAACCCTAGGAGGAGCTTTGGAGCAACCATGATGAGTGTGTTTTGGATTAGAAAACAGATGCGATGAGTGGTGCGAGGTTAAGTGGCGGAGAAGGTGGTGGATTTATAGGGAAAATGGAGGAGAATGGTTTTGTTTGGGTGTGCACCGATAGCGCCACCTTGCACCGGATGTTGGTGGCGGTGGGTGGTGACGTGGTGGCGCATGGCCTGCTGTCTATATACACTTGGCCAAAAGATCCTCTACATTTCGACAACGTATTAGCCCACCGGAAAATCAAGATCGGTGATTTCTAGCCCACTACTTCCACAAAATGAAAATGAACGATTTTTTAATTTTAAATTATTTGTGTTTTATTTGTGTTTTTATTCGATGACAGATCCAGAAACTTAGGTGACGAAGAGTTTTAGGGGTATAAAAGATTGAAGCAGAATAAGTCACTCAAATCAAAATAATTTCGGGTTATCATTATTTGTGTGTTAAACAGTTCAGTTAACCAAATAAGGTAAATTTCAATTTTAAATATTTCTTTTACCATATCAATTAACCGAATAGCAAAATTATACTGTTATTTATATAATTTCCTTCCAAACGAATTGATCTGAGCATATATAAAATTAACATTAGATGAATTAATTTACATTTTAACTAAATAGAACAAGAAATAGAGATATCTTTAACAAAATTATCAACCAACATGATTATAAGAACTAACGGTAACAATATACAATATACGAGGGAATCAATGGAGGGGAGGGAGTGGTTTCGTCAAAGCATGACCAGGTCACTAGAGGAAATTATTGAAAATAGTCATATTTTCATGATAATTTTCAAAAGTATAAATATATAAAATAGCAATCTATTTTCATAAATTTGTTTATTATAACATTGTACATTCAGTTTTTTTTATTACATCAATATACTTTTAAACTATTTTTTATTAAAATATTGTACTTTGAAAAATTTACTCATTATAGCATTGGGTAATCTTTTGATTTAAATTTACCTATTATACCAGGTTTTCATGCCACCTTATTGTTCACGTAGGCTGCCACATGTACTATAGTAACGTGACTTTCTTACTACATCATTGTACTTTCAAATTTTTTTTATTATAGCATCTACTAGTTCTTATTATACACTCTATTTTTAATTTTAATATTTAGATATTTTACATGTTATATAATAAATGTATTAAATGAATTAAAAAAAATTCTAAATTATTTATTAATATACCAATATCAATAAAACTAGTAGAACACAATTTATCTCGCTAATATTTTTTAAAAAAATATGTCTTTTTTGAAAAAAGAAGAAAATAAGAATTGTTCTTTTTTTACTAAAATACATTATCTTTTAAAGAATATATTATATTTGTTAAAAAACTTTTTACTTGACGTATAAATATATTAAATTAATTAGATTTTTTTGAATTATTTATTAATATAACAATATTAAAAAATTATAGATAACAATTTATTTCGTTAATATTTTAAAGAGAACTTTAAAAGATATATATTTATTTGAACAACATAAAATAGGAAAAACTATTTTTTTACAAACAAAATATATCTTGAAAATAATGTTTCATATTTATTTAATAAATATTTTACTCTGAGAATATTTAATTTGCAATTAGAAAAATAAAAAAAATTAAATGTTTTTTAGATCATAGCAATGAAAAACGAAAATCACTAATAATAATTTGAAATAGGTTTTAATTTTAATTTTAGTTAAGTCATCAAATTGATGTGTCATCCATATCACCTCATTAAAGCCACACAAGCAAAAGAGTCAAAGGGTTAACCGGTTTAAAAGGTAATATGTTACCCATTACTATTATGAGTAGATTTTTTAAAGTACAATGCCTTAATAAAAAAATAATTTGAAAGTACATTGTTGTAATAAAGAAAAACAAAAGTAAAATGCTATAATAAGAAAATTTATGAAAATATGTTGCTATTTCATGCATTTAAATAGTCATTCTTTACGTAAATATGACTAAAAAAATAAATGGAGGTGAAAAGATCAGTTATTTTCATCAATTTTCCATATAGACGATCCTGTTATACCTGTACCGGTGCACATTTTCCAAATAATTAAAAGAGTAAATTACGTTTTAAGTCCCTATGGTTTACTAAAAGTAGCGTCATCTCGAAACTAACTTCTTACTTTAAGTATGAGGGACGAAAAGAATAATCAATTGTAAATGACAAGGACGAAAAAAAAAAACAAATTATAAATCATAAGAACGAAAAACAACAGTTATAAACTTTCTCTAAGTAAAATATAATGTTAAACACCATCCAGTTAGGTTTAAAGATGAATGCGATTGAACTAACGTCTTTGTTATTGAAAGACACATCGACATATATATACATCGTTAGGTTTTAAGTTGTATCGACAACTTAGAATCCATACCTTAAAACATTATTAAAACTAAACCAACGAACGTTGGTTGCTACAATCTCCGAGCACTGATCTCCTGAAACAGGAGATCAGCTCGGAACCTAGAAATAAACTCTTCAGCCCTCTCATTAATCCCATCCATTTGCGGCGACCCCATCACCAACGACTCCCACATATCATCCGCCACACCACCACCGCCACCACCTTTACCACTCGTCCCCTCCACCGCATTTCCGCCTATTCTCTCCGCCACCACCGGAACCTCCACCTGCTTCGTGTTATCAAGAAACAGTTGATCAACGTAAACCGGCTTGGTTTTCTTTCTGGGATATCGACGGATGCCTTTTCTTTTACGTTTGAATCGAGATTGAAACGACAAAGACAGCCAGTTGGTACCACCACCTTTGCCAGCGGTGGTGGGGTGTTTCTTGATTTTCCGGCTGGTAGTGCTGGTTTTGGAGGATCGTTGGAGTACTTTATGCAGTCGTAGCTTGGTGGCGAGTAGTCTTAGAACCTTTTTAGCAGCTAGAAGCCTCTTGAAATTCTTCAAATACGCCATTGAAACACTGAAATTAATTAGGGTTTTCATGGAGGCTTTATAGAGAGGGTTTCAATGGTGGTTGTATAACTTAGTTTTTAAGCTATAAAACCTTTAATTTATTCGTTTTGTGTGGATGGTTTTCGCCAACTGGAGATTCTGATCCACTTTCGAGTTCCACTACCACACAAAGATTCGATTCTTGAGTTAGCTTCAACATTAAGTTGCAGCCATCATCATCTCCACTTTCTTTTTCTGTTCTATTTCGACTAGAGATGCACAAAAAGACCGTAAACTAACTAACGGCATAAGGGTCCCAACTCGATCGGGACCTAACCACCCTTTTGGTTATTTCAAACGGCATCCGAATTGTTCTACTAGAATGTGTTCGATTAGTCGAAAGAACTAGAACGTAACTGGCATGTCGGTAAATGGCACGTAGTTTTTGTTGATCATATTAAACAATATTAATTACGATAACATAAATCATTACAACAAAATCGGGGTTATAGGACACTCTCAATTTCTAAGCGTTCGAATAGAACTCTTTATAGGACATAGTTTATAGAACCAAAAAAATAAAGTGTCATATCTAAAGGCGTTGTAATAAGTTTATATAACGTTTTTTGACGTCGTAATAAGTTTTTTACGACACTTTTAATATAAAGCGTCCCATTAGCAACTTTATAAGATACTATTTGAAAAACTGTCCTATAAAAACAAATGTCCTATAAAAAATTGAGTTTATAGGACACAATCTCAAAAGTGTCCTATAAAGTTGCTAATACGACATTTTGTATTAAAAATGTCCTAAAAAATTTGTTAAGACGCCCAAAAGCGTCATATAAATTTATTACAACATCTTTAGATAAGACGCTTTATTTTTTGGGTCCTATAAACCAAGTCTTATAAAGTGGTCTATTGAGGACACTTAGAGATTGAGGGTGTCCTATAAACCCAATTTTGTTGTAGTGAATAAAACCAGTGCAAACGATTGGAGATGGTATAATATCATACTCAATATTGTTACCAAACCAAATCTTTTAGTATTTTTCAATTGGAGCATCTTTGTATATTTCTGTCCAAGACATCAAAACCATCGAGACGGACCCTATAAATAATTTTTATGAAGGAGTTGTTTGTTTACCTCTTAATAGTTCCATTAAAAGACAACCTCTTAATCGTTAATAGGTGAATCTTGTTTGGCAGAAAAACAGTCTGCCTCTTAATGATTTTGTATCTTAGGTCTTCCTTAACTATTCAGCGCCCTAATTTCATTATAAACAATTATATTTCATTTTGCATTATATCATGAGAGCCTCTTAATCATTCTGACAATTTAATCATTATGTATCAAATCATTCAGTAATTACCAAACAACCTCGAAATTATATTGAGAAAACTAGAAAATACATCAAATCTACACCTATTGATATGTATCTATATTGGTCCAAGCCCATGATTCAATGCAACCAAATGATACAAAGTAGCAAAAGCCCAATATAACCCACAAATCCGTTTATTTATTTATTTATTTTTATTAATATATTATTAGATATTCTTTGAGTAATTAAATACTACTACGTGTATTTGTGTAATGTGCGGGATGTAAAAGTTTTCTACTTATAACCAACAATACGGGATTACATACATAAAACGACAATAAGATTAGATGGTTTTGTTAACTGTACTTAGTTATGTATAACTATTGCTATTTACAAAAGCTCCTGTCATGATGAATCCTGCGATGTATTGGTGATGAGTATATAACGCAGCTTGAGTAGTAAAGTCTTGTGCTATAAATGCATAAGCGGGTAAAGAGTACATGTGTTAAGCTACCAAAGAAGTAGTAATAACCCCTAAAGAAGCTAGAGCAAGACCTAATGGAAATATAAAATAACGGTAGAAAGTCTAGTACTTTGAATATTGCTAACTTTACCTAGTTATGCATAACTTTTTATATGATGTCTTGAATACTGAAAAACTACGTATGCAAGCTGAATTGCAAAAATATTCGAAACTGTTGCCACAAGTCATAGGTTGCATTTGTTAAAAATTTCGGTGTTTCAGTTTGCTTGGATCATGTTTTAGGGGAAAAAAGTACTACAAAAACCACCAAATTTTTAAAATTCAGT